GCATCTAGGATTTTTACAAAATTCTAGATTTCCATTACCTTTGGATGATATTACATGTAGATATTAGTATTTACAGAAAAGGAAACTAGCCAAACTTAATAAATGCTGAATAGCAAGATGTCAAAATCCAGTAAAACGCATTTAAGTAAAAGTGATAAATATATAAATTGCAAATGTTAGTAATTATTAATTGATGTAATTCGTGAAAATAATTCTAAACAGTGTCACAAATGTGAAGGCATTAATACTACTACAAAGACGATGTCATTTTATTGCTTCAACAAACCACCGATAAAAAAAAATATACGAAAGAAATAAAGATTAACTTGAAACAAAATATCAGACATTAATGTATACCTTTATTTTTGTTTTCTGTTAACGGTTCTCGTACCAATTCACGTTGAATTTTAAAATAATTAAGTTGAAAACATTATATGTATTTACAAATAAAAAAAAAGATGGAATACTCTCCTGTTCTTTTGGGCCTTCTGAATAGCATAAGTTATTTCCACGTCTGGAACATCTGCTCCTTCTAAAGTCAAATACATTCTTATTTCAAGAATGAAAAAAAAAATCAAAAATGAATCGCTGACTCATTTCCACATTTTGACATTTCGGGAGAGTTTTCGTAAGTATTTTTATTTTTTTCTTTGTTCCCCAACAGTCCCAGGACTTTGAAGGCGGAAAATTAACCCTTTGCAATAAATAAATAAAAACCTTTAACCTACAACATTAGTTATAAGAAAGAAATATATATACAAAGTATTTGCCACTGGACTTGTAACACCAAACTTCCAATCAGTCCAAAATGAGTAGAAATGTCAGTTAGTAAAATTGAGAATGGAAATGGGAAATGTGTCAAAGAGACATCAACCCGACCAAAGAGCAGACAACAGCCGAAGTCCACCAATGGGTCTTCGATGCAGCGAGAAACTCCCGCACCTGGCGGCGTGCTTCAGCTGGCCCCTTTCACAAAAATGTATACTAGTGTATTGATAGTGGACGTCATTCTTAACTCCGAAATATACACAAGAAATTGAAATTAAAAATCATACAACAGAGGCTCCTGAATTGGGAAAGGCGGAAAAATGCAGCGGGGTTAAACATGTTTTTTGAGATCTCAACCCTCCCCCTATACCTCTAGCCAACGAAATTTGCTTCAGAACGAAATCCTACTTTTTAATTTTAACTTTTAATAAAATCGCACGAAGACAATAATCAGACAGTCCTATCTGAAATTAATGCATTAAAGCTCATTTTTAAAAATGCTTGCAATTTGAATTGCTTGGTCTTTCTTCTTCTTCTGTTAGTATTATCCTTCCATTTAGGAACACCAAGAATTTCTTGTATCAATAAACGTTTATACACTATTTACAGGTTCTCCATATGTCCTCTCAGGGAAATATGTACATGTATACACGACCCAAGAATCACACATACATTTCCAAATTTGCTCAATAATATTCTTTTAAAATCTAAAACCTTTTTGCAACAATCAATGAAATAATAATAATTAAAGATTTAACCGCCGAAACTTTGAAAGTGTACAACTTACAAACACACACTTCTGTTAACCCTGTTTACCTGTCGACTTTTGTTTAGAATAGCAGGTGTGTGTTGATCGATATTTACGACATGCAGTCATTCGTTTATAACCCTTTTATCTCCAACTTCTCCGGGTAATGATTGACAGGTATTGTAATCTATGTAACACATAAATCGGGGTACAATAAAGGTATCATGTTTTAAGTAATTAAAAACAATTCACTCTTTATTAGAAGACAAAATTAAAATTAAAACATGTTGAAACTACACAAGTAATTTAATTGACACAATATAAATTTGGTATAAATAAAGACGTGTTTATTTTTTTTTTTTGTATAATTATCTTATTTGCACTCACAAACAGATAGCAAACTTCAGTATCGTAATTGATTTTTAAATCGTAATTTACAAATATAAGATTGTCAGCGCGGACTTCGCGGATCAATAGGGACATAATGTAAGTGACAAGTTGTGATCATTTCATTTTTTCCATCAAGGATTTCCCTGAATTTTAATGAATGTCCATCACGGAATCGAGGAATACACGTTTTTTGCAGTATTGCAGTGTAGAAACCTGCCAAATTCTTTAAGTCAAGCCCTTCAAAATTATTCAATAGTGATATTATCCATATGCTTCTTTGTTTCCGTGACCAATTATTGGCATCGATATGTAATCACTTCCATTCATAAATATTTGTAGTTGTGTATTACAATGTTACCACGTGTATTTATCTTATCCATTGGTCGTATTTAAATAGATTTTTGTCGAGCCTTCGACTTAAGTCGAAAAAGCGAGACATAGCGATATTACATTCCGTCGGCGTCGTCGTCGTCTTCGTCGTCGGCGGCGGCGTCCACAAATATTCACTCTGTGGTTCAAGTTATTGAAATTTTAATAACTTTCTTAAACTATCCTGGATTTCTACCAAACTTGGACAGAAGCTTGTTTATGATCATAAGATAGTATCCAGAAGTAAATTTTTTAAAAATAAAATTCCATTTTTTCTGTATTTTACTTATAAATGGACTTAGTTTTTCTGCCGGGAAATATTACATTCACTCTGTGGTTAAAGTTTTTAAAATTTTAATAACTTTCTTAAACTATCCTGGGTTTGTATTAAACTTGGACAGAAGCTTGTTTATGATCATAAGATAGTATCCAGAAGTTAATTTTGTAAAAAAATAAATTCTATTTTTTCCTTATTTTACTTTTAAATGGACTTAGATTTTCTGCCAGGAAACAACACATTCACTCTGTGGTTAAAGTTTTTAAAATTTTAATAACTTTCTTATACTATTTTGATTTGTACCAAACTTGGACAGAAGTTTGTTTATGATCAAATGCTAGTATCTAGAAGGAATTTTTGTTTTCTTCCAGTTAACATTACATTCAGTCTTCAGTTAAAGTTTTTAAACATTTATTAGATTCATAAACTATCCTGGATTTTTACAAAACTTGGACAGAAGCTTCTTACAATCAAAAGATAGTATCAAGAGGAATGTTTTATTGATTTACTTCCTCATTTTTGTTGAGCCTGCGATTAACAGAAAAAGTAGTCGAGACACTGGGTTCCGCGGAACCCTTACGAATTTTTATAATTGACCAATGAAATTCAATATTTAATTCATCAGGAAAGCCATGCTCAAAAACGTTTCGTATATGAATGTCGATCTTTCTTTCCCCTTATATACTTAGTTTGAAACCTGCAACACTGATAAAAGCTTCCATGAAAAAATATTTATAACCATCTAACTCATAGATCTATATTATCTGTTTCTGTCTTAATTTACAGGTAACTATATTTTCAAAAAACATCGTTTAAACGAAGGGAAATAAGATGGTTAGTTTTAACAGATTCTGTAAACATTGTTTATGTATTCATCTCCTTACAACAATGTTTTTATAACCGTCGCTCACGCATCACTGGTTCTATTATTGACAACTCAATACACATCAGTTTTGTCGGACGAACAGGTAATTCCCGTCAAACTAGATAAATCATGTGCATTAATTTAACTGGAACATTTCAATACTATATATAGCTAACGTTAATAATACACACGTTATCGTTCACGCGAGTTTAAAGGGACATCATTATCTAAGAGTATGAGAGGGATTACGGTAAACGTCTAAAAATACAGCAAACAGCTAAAGTTAAAGACGGACATCTAATTCCCTGTCAAACATCTAATTCTTTGTCAAACATCTATATTTAGAGATTACTGGTTATCTTTTAACCATAGTCCATATTTTTAGATGTATTCCAGGCTTCTAGATAATAAGCAGGCGCATTAACCAAATGGCTTTCCCAGTGTATACATGTGAAAAGTTGCTCTGATACCCATCACCCACGTATAAATAATGTAAAGTGCCTTCCAACCCCCCCCCCCCCCCCCTACATTTTTTTCTGGAATAGCCCTAAGAATATATTAATTTTTTTAATATTTTTTTGAAAAAGTTTCTGTGGTCTTGAGGAAGTTTGCTAGGCCTAAATCTTATGATTGGAGGCTCAATCCCATGCTTGGCCCATGGTTCCTTTTAAAAATTCCTCTCTCTTAATAATGCAGCAGTTACGAGTCAGAGAATGATCAACTAGAGAGTCAAATTAATGTGTCCAAGTAGGGGGAAATAACTGTTAAATTACATATCCCTATGATCAAATTTTGACTCAAGCTGTCTACTTTTGTATAAAAGAAATGAAAATTCATCTGAAAGTAACATGTTATCACACCTACCGCATGCTACACAAGCCTGTAATTTAGTGGTTGTTGTTTTATCATACATCACACTAATGGTATTTTCTTTTGAATTGTTTCACATTTTGTCATGTTGGGGCCCTTTTGTATGGTATTTATTTCTCTCATTGTTGAAAGCCTATAGTTATTAAAATCCATGTCATTTGGACTATGGTTGATAGATTATTAAACATGTAAAATGAACTGCTGAGTTTTTTCTTGTCCTGATCCTGATCTCCTTTTACACATTTTAAGATCTTATTTATGCGAGATGATAATTTCATTATTTTCTCTTAATAGCAAAATTGATTAAAAAATGAATCTTTAATGGACATTTTCCATTTTCAGCACAAATGAATTATTTCAAATAAGATTTTTCAAAGGTTGACTTGTTCTACTATCATCGCAAGTCTTTCAAAGTAATGTAGTGGATGTACGAGTCCCCCCCCCCCCTCCCCATGTATTTAATTTCAAATGAACTCATGAGCATCAAGCCATGTTCTGTTGATCTCCCCACAAATTTCATATAGCATCCTGGTATACAGGGAATTTTAAAATACCATCTTATTTCTAGAAATTATAGCATCACATCCATAACACAACCTATAAGATAATAATCTCAGATAACATCACATTACCATGATGGTAAAAGGCCCTGGGGGAGAACACTGGATCATCTTATAAATAACTGCATTTAATTGGTTTGTAGTGATATTTACCTGGATGACAGCAAATCCAATACCAATACCTCCAATAACAACGATCTTGTCTTTAACAAATTCCTTCAACTCCGTGTAACATCCCTAGAAAAGATAATTTGACTTAAACATAGGTGAATATTCTCTCAATTGATTGGTGTTTGCTTAAAGTCCTGTGGCAAATGTTTCATGCATGTTTAGGACAAGAACAAATTAACAATAAATACAATTGGTAAGGTAATGTAATAGGGGGTCGACAGGGGCTTACTTACAAGTGGCAAATGTTTCATGCGCGTTTAGGACAAGAAGGAATTAACAATAAATACAATTGGTAAGGTCATGCAGGGGTGTGGAAATATTTGTTGTGACCACTTGTCCCCGGGCAAGTGAAATTGTAGATTTTTCTAGTCAAGAAGAAAAGTTACTTGTCCTGGATTTCTTAATGAATTTTGCATTAAAGAATGCATTGTATTTTACTGTAGACGTGTATGTTTCTAAAACAGTTTTTAAACACAATGAAAATGGTATTCATGGTCTTTGTTTCACCCGCAAATTTTTTGTTGTTGTGTGATAATCGATCTATTTCTTGATCATTGATCATGTTGATATTGTTTTACTTAAACTTAAAACATGTTGCTTCGTCTTGTTTTTTTGGTATTTTTCTACTTTGATGGACTTTTCTATATGATTATGAAAATTATCATTGTCAAGCAACATTTTTTTTTTAATTTGTCCACGGGCAACTAAGGCACGAAAAATTGCTTGTCCAGTCTTCAAATGTACGAGTCAGTCGAGTCAGGCATAGCATTTGGGTACCCCTGTCATGTAATAGAGGGTCAATGGGAACCAAGGGATGACCATATTTCTATACCCCAGTCAACCCTTACATGACAAGAACTTGCATACAAAAAATTAAAACAAAAGCAGATTTTCACACTTTTCATGTTCGGGACTTTTATAGCCGACTTTACAATATGGGTTTTTCTCATTCTTGACGGCCGTACAGTGGCCTATAATTGCTTACATCCACTTCATTTGAACTCAGGTGGATAGCTGTCTCATTGGAAATCATACAACATCTTCTTATTTTAATACTGTAAACCAACTTATTTTCGCAAATACTTTATTTCAGGTTTAGCCCTTCCCAGCCGACTTAGCAGCAATTTATTATCGGAGATTTTCTTATTTTCTTTATGTATCCTTATATAGGTAGACCAAAATTTTACATTTGCGACGATTAAAATTCACGCTATTTTACTACTCCGGAAATTCACTTAGTTCACAGTATTGATTTGTACAACAATGTCTTTTCATGGTTTGATTGATTGATTGTTGCTTGCCTAATGCCCTTTTCATGGTTTGATTGATGTTTGCCCAATGCCCCTTTTCATGGTTTGATTGATTGATTGATGTTTGCCTAACACCCCTTTTTATGGTTTGATTGAATGATTGTTGCTTGCCTAACGCCCCTTTTCATGGTTTGATTGATTGATTGATTTTTGCTCAACACCCCTTTTCATTGTTTAATACTGAAAAGAATCAATTATTTCAAACATTAAATCACATTTCAGAAAATGTTTCAGTTTTTCTATGAATCATCATGCATAATATGCATAAAACAGACTAAAAAACAAAACTTCCTTTCTGATCAAAGTTGCAATTTCTCCGTCCTAAACACTTTAAGACTTATACCTGCCTAATTATTCTATTTACTGATAAATGTTATAGTTATTAATAAATTAAAAAATAAATGGGGAATGTGTCCATGGGGACACAGATGATGCCCCCGCTTGCATGTAACGTTATAAAGAGATATAACTCAAGAACTGTAAAAGTGACGCTACCCAAATTTGTACTTGATCTGAGTTTTGTGGTAATAAGCATTGGACATAAGTTTCATAACATTTGGTTGAGGCAAATTAAAGTCAGAGAACGGAAACAAAAAATTCAGCAATTTTTCCATTTGTAAAGGGGCATAACTCTATAACAGTAAAAGGGACGCCACCAACATTCAAACTTGATCTGTGTTTTATAGTCATAAGCATTGTGTATATGTTTCATAACATTTGGTTGAGGCAAACTAAAGTGAAAGAACAGAAACAAAAATTTCAGCAATTTTTCCATTTGTAAAGGGGCATAACTCTAGAACGGTAAAGGTGACGCCACCAAAAGATTCAAACTTGATCTGTGTTTTGTGGTAATAAGCATTGTGTATAAGTTTCATAACATTTGGTTGAGGCAAACTAAAGTTAGAGAATGGAATACCAAATTTTGGGACGTACGTACGTACAGACGGACAAGGGTAAAACTTAATGCCCCCTCCGCTACGGCGGGGGCATAAAAAGTAGGTACGGCAAGAGTGAAAATATTTTAATGGTGTTGAGATGTGGGCGACACCCTTAATTTGCTAGAATATCATATATAGATATTTCAGATAAAATGCTTCGCTGGGGCGCAGCTTGATACGACCGCAGAGGTCGAATCCTGAACAGTTGGGGCAAATATGGACACAACATTCAAGCTTGATACAGCTCTGAATTTGGATTGTTATTAAATATTTGACACAGCATAGGTTTCTGACACAGAAAGAATGTGGTCTAAGAACTTGAATTTTTTTAATTTACCTATTATGGTCCAATGTCCCAAATCAAAATACATGGTTAGATTCAGCATATCAAAGAACCCCATATATTCATTTTTGTTAAAATCAAACAAAGTTTAATTTTGGACCCCAACTTGGACAAACTTGAAAACTGGGCCCATAATCAAAAATCTAAACACATGTTTAGATTCAGCATATCAAAGAACCCCAAGAATTCAATTTTTGCTAAAATCAAACTAAGTTTAATTTTGGACCCTTTGGACCTTAATGTAGACCAATTTAAAAAACGGGACTTAAAATTAAAAATCTAAATACACGGTTAGATTTGGAATATCAAAGAACCCCAATAATTCAATTTTTGATGAAATCAAACAAAGTTTAATTTTGGACCCTTTTGACCTCAATATGAACCAATTTGATAGCGGGGCCCACAAATAAAAAATCTAAATTCATGGTTAGATTCAGCATATCAAAGAACCCCATATATTCAATTTTTGTTGAAATCAAAAAAAGTTTAATTTTGGACCCCAACTTGGACCAACTTGAAAACTGGGCCCATAATCAAAAATCTAAACACATGTTTAGATTCAGCATATCAAAGAACCTCAAGAATTCAATTTTTGTTAAAATCAAACAAAGTTTAATTTTGGACCCTTTGGACCTCAATGAAGACCAATTTAAAAAACGGGACCCAAATTAAAAATCTAAAGAAACGGTTAGATTTGGCATATCAAAGAACCCCAATAATTCAATTTTTGATGAAATCAAACAAAGTTTAATTTTGGACCCTTTTGACCTCAATATGAACCAATTTGAAAGCAGGGCCTACAAATAGAAAATCTAAATACATGGTTAGATTCAGCATATCAAAGAACCTCCTTTATTCATTTTTTGTTGAAATCAAACAAAGTTTAATTTTGGACCCCAATTTGGACCAACTTGAAAACTGGGCCCATAATCAAAAATCTAAATACATGTTTAGATTCAGCATATCAAAGAACCCCATATATTCAATTTTTGTTGAAATCAAACAAAGTTTAAATACTGGACCCTATCTTGGACCAACTTGAAAACTGGGCCCATAATCAAAAATCTAAACACATGTTTAGATTCAGCATATCAAAGAACCCCAAGAATTCAATTTTTGTTAAAATCAAACTAAGTTTCATTTTGGACCCTTTGGACCTTAATGTAGACCAATTTAAAAAACAGGACCCAAAATTAAAAATCTAAATACACGGTTAGATTTGGAATATCAAAGAACCCCAATAATTCAATTTTTGATGAAATCAAACAAAGTTTAATTTTGGACTCTTTTGACCTCAATATGAACCAATTTGATAACGGGGTCCACAAATAAAAAATCTAAATACATGGTTGGATTCAGCATATCAAAGAACCCCATATATTCAATTTTTGTTGAAATCAAACAAAGTTTAATTTTGGACCCCAATTTGGACCAACTTGAAAACTGGGCCAAAAATCAAAAATCTAAATACATGTTTAGATTCAGCATATCAAAGAACCTCATATATTCAATTTTTGCTAAAATCAAACAAAGTTTAATTTTGGACCCTTTGGACCTTAATGTAGACCAATTTGAAAACTGGACACAAAATTAAAAATCTAAATACACTGTTAGATTTGGCATAACAAATAAATAAATGTGATCAAAGATTTTACAAATCTAATGCGCCATACTGTGCAATTAAAGACTTCTTGATATTTTTCAATATTTGAAATTTGAAAAAAAAAAAATTTTTGAAGAATAATTCTTTTTAATTTCTGAAATCTGAAATGAGAAAAAATTGACCCCCCACAATTTCTTTTTACCCCCCCCCCCCCCCCTTTTTTCCCCAAAAAAATTCTTTCCCTCAAGATATGGTCATAATCTCAATTAAAATTTCCAATGGAGTTGGCAACCATAATTACCCATTTAAACTTACCATAGTGCTAACTTATTCTATTTTATAATAGAATTAAAAATATAGTGTCAAATCTTTCATATGGATTTTTTTGTAAAAAAAAAAGATGCAACATTTGCAGATATTTTTAAAATATGCATTTCTTTAAACATAATTTAAATGCAGTGTAAGGGAAGTAACCAAAACGTTGTATTTGGATTACCTCCCTTACACTGTTTTAAATTATCTTTATTGTTCATTAACCATTACTTTATACATAATTTAAAAGCAGTGTAAGGGAGATAATTTCAATGATGTATTTGATTTATCTCCCTTACACTGCTTTAAAGTATGTTTTGTACTATAGTATTTGTCCATCAACCAGGACAACCCTGTTTTTCCTCCTTTTTTGCCCCTAATTCCTAAACGATTTGAGCCATAACCCCCCATAGCAAATCCTAACCATCCCTTTGTGGTATGGAAACTTGTAGTATAATTTCAGAGAGATCCATACACCGTTCCACAGTTATTGTCTGGAAACTAGAAAATGCTTATTTTTGGCCCCTTTTTGGCCCCTAATTCCTTAACTATTGGTACCATAACCCCCAAAATCAATCCCAACCTTCCTTTTGTGGTATTTAACCTTATGGTCAAATTTCAAAAAGATCCATTCACTTAAACTAAAGTTAGAGTGCGAAAACCAATGTGTCTTCGGAGGACGACGCCGGACGACGACGCCAACGTCATACCAATATACGACCACAAAATTTTTTTGCGGTCGTATAAAAAACACATAGTCAACAGATTCAGAGGTAGCTGACTTATACATTTTATAGTATACAAAAGTCATTCAGCTAATAGTGGCAGATGGAGTTGAGTGGTTACTAGACCTGCTTTCCCCGTTGGTGACACAGGTAAAAATAATAGTGTAAAGAGAGAAACCTTGAACAACAAGTATTTGAGTCATTATGGTTTAATCTTTGTACTATACTAATTGGCCTAAAGTGGACCTTACTTACCACAGCATAAGGGTTGCAGGCAGGAGCTGTTTTACTACTATCAATACAACATGACTGTGGCCATGCCGGTGTAGTTCCATTATTCCAGTCACTGGAACCGTTCACTCCACAACATTTAAACTGAAAACATTAAGTGAAAAGTTACACATTATAATGAGACATGTGAAGAAACTATCTTAAATTTAATGTTGATGCATAATGTATCTTAAATTCAATGTAGATAATAGTGCATCTTAAATTTAATGTAGATGCATACTGTATCTTAAATTTAATGTTGATGCATAATGTACAGATGTATCTGAAATTTAATGTTGATGCATATTGTATTTTAAATGTAGATGCAAATTAGATGATTTGAAACAGTCTCATTCATAGAAAACCTATTTTAAACATGGTGGTGTATTATTTTGGCAGAGTTCCAATTTTGTGATATCTAGGGCTAATAAATTTAAGCAAAATAATTGACCAATGTTCAAATCTCATTCATCTATTAAGATGGTACAAATCACGGTAAAAAACAAGAGACCGTTCACACAGAGAGATGTCTCGCTTTTTATAATTTCGATATTAAAATGAAAATGTTGAAATTGAAATAACAAATATTTAAACATATAAATATGCAAAACATTCAAAGTCAAACAATCCTGACTGAAGGTGCAGGGTCAAATAATCTCCATGGAAATGAGAAATGCCTATGCTTATAAAAAACTGCATAACAAATACCATCGACTTATTATAAGTCGTTCTCTTTGAACTAGCCTTAAGACAAACTTTTTACTTGTAAACTATGCAAAAGTTTTAAAGTCAATGAACCATAATGGTAATGAAAGCTATATCCTGTTGCATGTTTTGCAAAAATATTTTGAATTTACAGTAAGTGCCATTTAGTGAAGACAAGGCCAAAAATAAAATTCAAATTTGTTTGATGTTGCCTACCGTCCCACCTAAAAAAAATTATGACACAAATCATTTCAATTTTTTTTATTTAGATTTTTTCCTGCTTTAACATTTTTTTCTTGTCTAAAACATGTAACTAATGTTGTTGGCCAACAAAAAATAAAATCCCTACCTACCTACCTAACCCTACAAGGCATGGGTAGGCAACATCAAACAAAGATTTTTTTAAGGGTGGCCCAATACACACTGCTGTGTAATTATGGATGGTAAATTCAAACTAAATGTAGTTATACCTCTTTTTGAACTTTGTCCCAATCTTCTAATGCTTTACCGTCTTTGATTGTCTCTTTCATCAATTTGGAAATCTCTCCGTCAACCTGGAAATATAATAAGATAATTTTTATTATGTACATGTTCATTTGTATATACTTGATCAATTGATTATTTTGGGTGTTTAAAGCCACTTTCAGCAATAATGGCTATTTCGTGGAAACTGGAGTGCCCCCAGAAAGAACCAGGACACTTGGCAGGAAAACTGACAATCCTAATCATACGGGATTGGAGTCAAACACATCTGCCGTGTGAAGGATTCGAAAAAACAAAACCTCAGTGTTGAAGGGCTAGTGAAACAGTAGATGAATTCCTTAGACCACTTGGCCACCAAGGACTTATTAGTACGTGTACATGTAAATATACAACTATTAGGCAGTTTAAAAATAATTTTCAAAAGTATTATCATCTAATTAGTTGATATACAATGTACTCTTGTTTCTGATATTCATATACAACAATGATAAATGGTTGTGGATTCATTTGTTTTTTTTTGTGGATACCAATTTTCCTGGACTGATGAAAACTTGTATTTTGTAGATATTTGATGTCTTGGTGTCTGCATACATGTACCTCTTAAAAATTTTGTACTTCTTAGAACATTTAATTCATGGTTATGCTTATACCAACGAAATCCTTGAAATTGGTTTCCCACCATTAATAATGGATCCACATTAAACACACATGGAAAAGGTTTGGTGTTGTAAAATAATGTTCCTCAAGCTGATAAATTTATTTTCATTTCTTTTGGTCCATTATTTTCTATTCTTTATATTTTAGCACCCCATTATTCTCTATTTTTTATTTTTTGTGTCTATTTTTTCTCCATTCTTTATTACTTTAGTTTTTTATTTTCTACTGTTTGTCCATTATTCTCTATTCTTTATTTTTTGGGTCTTTTTTTTCCTCCATTCTTTATTACTTTTTTGCCTTTTATTATCTAGTTTGCTCATTATTTCCTATTCTGTAAACCCCATTTACACTCTCATACACGTACATGAACATTCTGAAACCCCTCTGCCTTATATCTGTAGAGAGCAAACAGATAAAGGAAATGGAAACCAGTTTACAGTTTTTTTTTGTGCCATTATGATCAAGTAACATTCTCTAACCCCTCTGCCTTATATCTGTAGAGAGCAAACAGATAAAGGAAAGGGAAACCAGTTTACAGTTTTTTTCATTATTTTCATATTATTTATCTTGTACTTACTTTGTCTTTATAAATGAATCCAGCAATACCAGCAGCCATTTCACAGATAAAGATGATAATGAGAATGCCAGCAAACTGTAATAGAAAGTGAAATTCATCTTCCACATCAAAATTGAATTTAAATTCAATTAATTTATCCAGTATATAATATGTGATAAAAGAACATGTACAGGTAATAACCATTAAGAATTAACTAGAAAAACAACAGAGTTCTCTAATTCCCACCCAGATTCCCTTCTCCTATTTGTATAAGTATGGCATGTCCATATTTGGCTAAGGTTAACCTCAAAATAATTTGCATAAAAGAATAAGATACATGTAGAATGTGTACAATGGCATTATTTATGAAAGATCCTCTAATCTTAGTCATTTATTTAGGAGGAGTTACATATAAACAAGTGTGGCAGGACAGATGAATAAAAGATCATAATACCCACTCTATGTACCTCAGCTATTTAGCAGGGGTATAACATGTATAACAATAAGATTATCATCTCTCTCTTCTTTAAATATAATTTACTTTTAACACATACATTAAGACTTCCTACAGAAAGATTTAAGATGGATGCATTACCATTTTATAAGTCTGATTGATTGTTGATATTTACATGATTTAATGCCACTTTCAGCACTATAGGATTTATCGAGATGGTCAGTTTTTATTTGTGGAGGAAGCCAGAGTGCCCGGAGAGAACCTAACCTTCAGCAGAATACTGACAATACTAGTCAATAAAGATTGGAGTCCAAAGCACCTGCAACTGACAATACTAGTCAATTAAGATTGGAGTCTTAACGCACCTGCTATGTGCAGAATTCCAACTCCCAACCTGTGTGTTGACAGGCTAGTGATCCAGTAGATGAACATATTTTCACAAAGAATACCTTGTCTATAATTTTGTTGTACATGTAAGAATTACATAGATTTTGTTAACAAGGATGTAATCGATGGTTATCAATGTGGTGCAAATTTTTTTCACTTACTGTCATAATACAACAATAGTTCTCTTTGTATGCTCCACAGCATCCGAAAGCTGCAATCATAAATATAAATACTCCAAGTACTATTAAAAACACCGCTGCCGCACTAAATTGGCCGCCTATTATTTCCGAATATCCTTTTAGGTTGATCTGTACATATGCTCCACCTGCTATCAAACCAATACCAATTAACTGAAAAAGAAATAAGGATAAAACTGTATTACATTGATGATGATGATGGATGGCTGTTTAACGACGTCCAGTGGCCAATTAAATGCATATTCAGGACGAGAACATGTTAATGTAATATGAATATTAACTTTGTTTTGTACTAGACCGACACGCTGAGCTGGATTTCAAACGGACTAGTTCATAAGGTAACAGTCCACAGGAAGACATGTCACCCTATCCAGATACATTCTGATTCTGAGCCGACTAGTCTTTGCTCTGACTCCAATATGCCGCATGCTTAGTGGAGAAGCAGCAAATACTAATTTTAAAGTCTATGGCTTGAACTGGTCAGTGTTTGAACCCACTATTCCCCCGAACTTAAGGGGAACATGCTATCACGAGACCACTGAGTCAGTTTATTACATTGAAGCTTTTAACAATTACTCAACAGGAAAATGAAACCCGAATATTTTGCAGACTTACAAGTTTTGTTTTTATTTCAAATTCAAATGTGTCTTCTTTCTTGTTTATTAGAAAAGATTTTACCATTTACAAGACTTAACCAGAATTCATTTTCTTTGATGCAGAAAATCTACCTACAGTCACGAGTCCAAATATTTGATGGAAATTTTTTTAGAAAATCATTTAGATGGCATAAAACATGAAAAAAACATACAGGTATTACATTTATATGCATCATGAATATTCAAAAAAAAAAGGAATATGCAGATTAAAAAGGAAGATCAACAAAAATGGGAGACAACTCTTCTGACATAGAAAGACCCAATCAAATTCATGCCAGTAACTGAAAGCAAGTAAAGCCTTCTTCGTCCCCTCCTATATATATCATAGCTTTTCATGTTATACATGTACAGGTACCATGTCAAGACCCTGGTTCCGCAACAGTTCACATTAATAAATTTATGGTCAGAAATACCATGTACCTAGCTGTTCATATTAATAACCTTGGGTTACATGTTATGATGTACCAATACAAACAAATCTGTCAATAATTATGTGATAAAACAGATTGAGATAATTGTAACATGTTTATATATACTCCCACAGTTTCAAATCATAGTTGTTTTTAAGGATCTTTAAGCCCTTTAAATATATTTTGAATTACATGTTTGCCTGCAAGCAGCATTATACATGCATGTGTTTGTGTAATGGGGCCTACATGTGTATACAATATATGATTATTATTAAGAATTGAATGCTCCTTGTGTAGTTTTATTGGACATTCTGATGGTCAATGTTTTTACAACCATATAAAACTAGAAAGAGATCCATTCATATTCGAATATGATGAAATGCCAGTGGAAATTCATGAATTTATGAACCATCATGAACTGTTCATGAATGTTCATAAGAAGTTCATTAAGTTAGTTCATGAATTAAGTTCATGAACAGTTCATAACATTCATGAACATTTTATGAACTTTTATGAATCGCAGGTTTTTTTTTAATCAATCCTACACAATGTTGTACTACATGTACTATGGTCATGCAAAGAGAGCAGGTTGTGAGGTTTTATTGGGAAATAAAACACTCCTTTAAAACACACTGTGGTTTATGGCTGCCAATCCAATGATGAATCTTTATAAAACATCTGTCATCAGTATAATATATTATGCAACAATAAGTAATATAGATCTTGAAGCACAGGTTTTCATGGATTGAGGTAAAAATTGTATTTTCATGGACATTTGATTTCATGATTTTGCCTGTCTGCATACAAGCCAATTAAAAATTTGTATTTCGTTGAACATTTAAATTTGAAGTTTAACGAAATCCACAAAAATTGGTATCCAATAATAATAATAAATCCTCAGTAATAAAATGTACTTTATTTGATATTTAATAAATGTTTATGATTCTATAAATTCATTGTGTCAGACTGATATTGGAAGAGTCTACAATTTTAACAATCTTCGAGTGTCAATGAGTGTGTTATTCCTTTAGTTATTAATGTATTTTCAATAAACCATAATAAATTTAAAGATATTCTTGTCTTAATATTGATTTTCAATAGAGCTCTATTTAGAATGAATGGATGACTTCCAGTTGCATAATATTTTCAAAGTGGGCCATTTGGGACAGTTAATATTGCTTAGCAGGGAAATAGCCCTCTGATTATTCATGAAAATCTAATTACCATAGGTACTAATTAATATATACTCCCAAATGTTTTTTTCTTGCATATGCATATACAAAAGTTACAATGAAAGAAATATTTAACTATCTTAAACAATGTTCTGACTTAAACAAGTCAGAAAATTAGTTACTTCCTTTAAATATATCAGTTTTATATATAAATTAAATTCAGAAATTTTTGGGCCATTTTTATCATTGCAAGAAATGCACAGCAAGATTGGTGTCGTAAAAATAAAAAGTTCCTTTTTAAATTTTATAACACTATTTGCATTTCCTCAATTTGCAATAATTAAACTCGCCTTTGTGACAATTGTCCAACAATTACAATAATTTCAGAACTTATAAAGTAACTGTAAAATGAAGAAGCAGTCTATATATAAACTAGAGGCTCTCAAGAGCCTGTGTCGCTCACCTGACTCTACTTTGGTTTTAGAAATCATGTAAAGATAGATAAAAATCATAACAGTTACCCAAATAATAATGATTGAGGCCAAATTTGGATTAATATTGGTCCCGTTATTTAATAAAATATCCTGGTGGCCATCTTGAACAGTAAATCAGCAACAAAGTAGCAACACATGGTCAGCACCTCATAAGAAACATTCATGCCATGTTTGGTTTCATTCCATTCAGTGGTACTCTAAAAGAAGACATTTGTATGTATTTCCCATAGGGTCCTATGTTCAACTAAGCCCCCCCCCCCTAGTGGCCATCTTGGATGATGGATCAGCTGCAAAGTAACAACACTTGGTCAGAACCTCATAAGGAACATTCATGCCATGTTTGGTTCCATTCCATTCAGTGGTTTTCTAAAAGAAGACATTTTTATGTATTTCCCATAGGGTCCTATGTTAAACTAAGTCCCCTGCTGTCAGCCATCTTGGATGATGGATCGGCTGCAAAGAAACAACACTTGATCAACACCTCATAAGGAACATTCATGCCATGTTTGGTTCCATTCCATTCAGTGGTTCTCTAAAAGAAGACATTTTGTATGTATTTCCCATAGGGTCCTATGTTAAACTAAGTCCCCCGCTGGTGGCCATCTTGGATGATGGATCGGGTGCGAAGAAACAACACTTGATCAACACCTCATAAGGAACATTCATGCCATGTTTGGTTCCATTCCATTCAGTGGTTCTCTAAAAGAAGACATTTTGTATGTATTTCCCGTAGGGTCCTATGTTAAACTAAGTCACCCACTGGCAGCCATCTTGGATGATGGATCGGCTGCAAAGTAACAACACTTGGTCAGCACCTTATAAGGAACATTCATGCCATGTTTGGTTTCATTCCATTTACTGGTTCTCTAAGAGAAGACATTTGTATGTATTTCCAATAGGGTCCTATGTTAAACTAAGTCCCCCGCTGGCGGCCATCTTGGATGATGGACCGACTGCAAAGTTACTACACTTGGTCAGCACCTTATAAGGAACATTCATGCCATGTTTTGTTTCATTCCATTCAGTGGTTCTCTAAAAGAAGACATTTGTATGTATTTCCCATAGGGTCCTATGTTAAACTAAGTTCCCCGCTGGCGGCCATCTTGGATGATGGATCGGCTACAAAGTTACAACACTTGGTCAGCATCTCATAAGGAACATTCATGCCATGTTTGGTTTCATTCCATTCAGTGGTTCTCTAAAAGAAGACATTTGTATGTATTTCCCATAGGGCCCTATGTTAAACTAAGTCCCCCGCTGGCAGCCATCTTGGATGATGGATCGGCTACAAAGTAACAACACTTGGTCAGCATCTCATAAGGAACATTCATGCCATGTTTGGTTCCATTCCATTTATTGGTTCTCTAAAAGAAGACATTTGTATGTATTTCCCATAGGGTCCTATGTTAAACTAAGTCCCCCGCTAGCGGCCATCTTGGATGATGGATCAGCTACAAAGTAACACCATTTGGTCAGCACCTCATAAGGAACATTCATGCCATGTTTGGTTTCAATCCATTCAGTGGTTCTCTAAGAGAAGACATTTGTATGTATTTCCCATAGGGTCCTATGTTAAACTAAGTTCCCCGCTGGCGGCCATCTTGGATGATGGATCGGCTACAAAGTAACAACACTTGGTCAGCACCTCATAAGTAACATTCATGCCATGTTTGGTTTCATTCCATTCAGTGGTTCTCTAAAAGAAGTCATTTGTATGCATTTCCCATAGGGTCCTATGTTAAACTAAGTGCCCCGCTGGCGGCCATCTTGGATGATGGATCGGCTACAAAGTAACAACACTTGGTCAGCACCTCATAAGAAACATTCATGCCATGTTTGGTTTCATTCCATTTAGTGGTTCTCTAGAAGAAGTTCAAAATGTAAAAAGTTTACGCCGACGACGGACACCGACGCCGGACGACGGACACCAAGTGATGAGAAAAGCTCACTTGGCCCTTTGGGCCAGGTGAGCTAATAAGATGTGGTATACATGTACATGTATACGATTGCCAACATGACAACTATCCTCAAGAGTCCTATTGATGTGAATGTAATCAACTAGTGGTCGCAATACACCTTTTGGAGTTTTGTGTTGCCCAGTCCTTGGTTTTCTATGTTGTGTTTTGTATACTGTTGTTTGTCTTTTGGTCTTTATCGTTTTTTTGCCATGGCATTGTCAGTTTGCTTCCGACTTATGAGTTTGAATATATATCCCTTTCAAGTTTGGCATCTTTCAACAAATCAATGAGCATAACTTTTGTATAATTAAACATCGAGATTGTTCTTTACAGATAAAAACAGCAGAAATATGACCGATAATGAAAAATATTGTTCAAATAACATGAATAACTTAAATCTGACTGGAAGCACAGATATTTGATTACCTTATCGATTATTGCCATCATCAAGCATTTGCACTGAACGTTAAACAAATATGTACAACCAATCAATCAAGCATTCAAAACATATAATCTATGAGGGTAGGAATGCCTTTATCGTCAAACCTCTGTTTTTCGCTACCTTTAGTGTCAAATGAGCCTTAATTTTTTATCATCATTCGTCAAATCTCATTTTATAGCTACTGTTAGCGTCAAATGGAGTAAAATGTTTATCGTTAACGTTATTTTAACAAATATTTCTCCGTCAATCCTCATGTGGGGTACCCCATTACTACCCTCATCTATCAGCTCTTCTCATTGGAATCAAATGTAGTACACAAATATTAAGCATTAATACATCAATCAATCAGTTTATCTTTATTAACATACATCATGTAATAGAAAAACAAAGAATATGGAGTATCAATCAATGACATGAAATCAGTGCATGCACATTGAAAAACACACAAAAAGTACAGGAACAGCGCTTTTATTGCTGTTCTTCATCTCAAAGTCACAGTGACATGTGTACATGTATCTAATCTTATATATTCAAGATTAGATTTAGTTGTTCTAGTCAACAAAAAATATTCCAAGTGTCAATAACTTAGGACAATATTACGCCGTGCTATATTTTCACGTTTCAAAATTCTAAAAATTCACATGATCTAAATTGTCAGTTGACAAAAGGTATTATAATAATATTTAAAATAAATAATAACTTGACAAGGTATTTTATTTGCTAAACAACAAAATAGATTTAAATCTAGACAACTTTTACTGGCACCCTTAATGCACCCCTTTCTACAGGTTGGCAAATATATTTTTAAGTGCAGTAAAAAGAATTTTGTTGATTTCTTAGAAAAACGTGCTTAGTAAATCAAGCAACAGGTACATATCATGCTATTGCATATAGTCATGATAGTTGACAGTTTCTATTTTTGTTGTTGTGGCATATTGTATTAGTTTAAGACTTGTTAGAATTTTATCACCTTTCAAAAGTTTTATTTATATATTGTTTATAAACTGGAAACAATAAAAGTTCTTGTCTGTTAAATATTTTTAACTTTGTATCCTGAACATAATTTATCCCCAATATTATTGACCTTATATTAACTTAATCAGACATTTCCCTGTATACCAAAAAAAATTTTAGATCAGAAAAAACTTAGTCTTGCACGACATGTTTTTAATGGAAAAAAAAATATTTATATATATTCATGTTTCCAAGAAGATTTCTGTTTTATTTTCCATCAGAAACAAGGACGCCTCCGGGTGCGGGAGTTTCTCGCTGCATTGAAGACCCATTGGTGGCATTCGGCTGTTGTCTGCTCTATGGTCGGGTTGTTGTCTCTTTGACACATTCCCCATTTCCATTCTCAATTTTATTTGCACATTAATCTCAAAATATTTTGTGGCCAAACATAATTTCAATTTGTTACCAATTCTACTTATGCATGCTATTGTTTATGTGGTAAACGTGATCTAATTGCTTGGATTATTACAAAATTTACATTTCAAGCTATGTTTAAACAACCATGAATCATAAACATTCTAAACACAAAACCACTTTATCTCAGGGTTCACCCCACAAACTTCATTTAACATCCTGGTAAACTGGGAATTTTAAAATGGCATCTTTTTTTAAGGAAGTGTAAACGTAGCATCACATTTATAACATAACAGAATTTTTAAGAAAATAATTTCAAATACCAATTTGTAAAGAAATGTAATCATGATGCTAAAAGGCCCTGGTCTGGCATCACAAGAAAGAAGATTTATAAATATGTGAAGATCAAAGAACAGGATCTTTTAATGTTCTCACTGAATGAATGAAGACTGTTTAACATTAGGCTGCAAAATATTAATTGCTCTTTCAGAACAATAACCTGTTAATATCATAAGGCCATGCAAAATTATTGTTGGTTTCCTCCAACCCTACCGAATCTGTTTTACCCTTCTCAGGCCATTTTTTTATTTAAATTCAAACAGATAGAAAAAGTGAGATGCCTTGTTTCTATTTAAAGGCAATTATCAATGATGCTAGAAATTATCTGATTATCTCTTTAATTCTAAAACTGTTTCAACATTGCTCTTTTATCATTCTGAAGTTTCAAATTGCTTGTTATCTTTTTAAGTTTCAAATTGCCTGTTATCTTTCTGAAGTTTCAAATTGCTTGTTATCTTTCTCAAGTTTCAAATTGCTTATTATCTTTCTTGAGTTTCAAATTGCTTGTTATCTTTCTTAAGCTTTGAATTGCTAGTTATCATTCTTAAGTTTCAAGTTGCTTGGTATCATTCTTTAGTTTTAAATTGCTTGCAGCAGTCATGTCAGTGACAGAATCACAACATTGAATGTCAAACAAGTTTTTTTTGTCTAAAGGTTGGCGACTATATATAGTTCAAAATTCTGTGTAGCAAAACAGAATGTGCCTCGTGATTTAATTTTCTGCTGGACTTTAACCTTGCTTATCCAAAAATGAAAAATATTGAAAGCTTCCTTTTTTTTAGTAATCACATTATATTATCCAGCAAAAAGCATTAACTATACATTTTTAGGGAGGGTTTTCCTGTCTACCCTTATTCACATACATGAGGCCCCTCATGGGGGTGTCCAAGTAATCACATAATCACAATTTTTTTGCCAATATAATCACATAAAACCATTAATTATTTTTTTTAAATTTACAGATAATCAAATAATCAAAAATAGTCCTAAATTATCAAATAATCGAATAATCATGAAATATTTGGTCTGGTAATCAAATAATCACTATAAAAATGGCCAAGTAATCAAATAATCAAGAACCCCATGAGGAGGCTCATACATGTACATCACATATTTTTCCCTGTCAGACCAAGGACAGAAAGCAAACTTTTGCTGATTCATACAAAAATTTGGTGGTCCTTCATTTTTTGGAAATTGTTACCTAATTCGTAATATAAGATATTATGGTGGAAAACATGATAAAACTAAATTGCAAAAAGAATCATTTTTGAGACTTACAAATATGTAACTCAAGGGTTACTGGATTTTGATGGGAATTTTTACCCGTTCCTAGAGATGTGAAAATAACCTAAGTTGTGTTAAATCTTTGAGATGTCCACTCTCAGGTAACACCTGTTTTGTATTGATTGACATATAATGACATGGACAATAGATATCTACATGTACACAACAATAGGCGAGTTAAAGGGTGTTACTGAGTTGACAGCATCAAATGAAATTCAGGTGTTTTATTTTTACACCCACAGCAGGAATGAAACAAAATACCCACCAAAATCCAAAACAGATAATTATCCTTCTCAGTTCCAAAATCCACTGCAATTTTACATTATCTAATGGATGCTAGGCCTTAAACTTTTTAAACTGCATGTTAGTATGTACTAAGAGAAGTTTTTGAGGTGTAAGCACAGCCATTTTTGTCCATTTAATATGATGAACCTATTAAACTAGTGCATTTATAGTGTGATTTAAGTAAAAATCAAGACAAAGTTATTTTGTATCAAGTACACCTTTTTGAGTTATCTCCCTTCAATACGTGGGGAAATAATTAAATGTTAAAAACGAACTGCAGACGTATCAGTTTTCTCACTTCTCAGTTTAAACATTTATTTGAATAAAAGCGTATCAAATAGCTCTAATTTCGTTCTCTCAAATGTGTAACTGTACCACAATATAAATTATCATGAGAACTACTTTCGTTTTAAAATATGTGTTTCAAGTCCATTAATTTTTATACTTACTGTAAATAAAACATTAAATGCAAACAACAATACACGAATACATTTCATTCCACCTTCAACCATCTTGACGAATTTTGTCTTTCCTTCTCAAAATATGAGTTTATTCACCACACCCGAACGATTACAGATTTCTCCGGGAACCTGTTAACGTAGGAATTCCAATTAAAATACTTCCGTTTGAATAAATCGCCCGAAAAAGTGTCACCAAGCTTCTAATTGTTATTCAATATGCAAATGACAAAATGAATGAGATTCTATATGGTTTGTCTTGTTCACAAATGCGATCTACTGGTTCTTGTGAAATGAAACGAACTATTTTATTTATGTGTAATCACATTTGGATATTGTTCAACGTCATGTGATTGTTTTCGATGTCACGTCATCAAATATAGGTGAGGGTCACCAAAGGCAAAAGCCAAGGCTATTGCGCTTTGTTTTCGAGAAATGCATTTCATTGGTATGCTTTGTTTTGTTTTATTCTTATTTGACAGTGTTTGTAATTTTGCGCAAATTTGTGGATCATGCTTAACTACTGATTTTAAAAGGCAAAAATACTGAAAATTAAAAGTATTTAAAGGAGTAATTTTTTGGCACTATAATCTACACATGTGATTTGATCGGTCATTCATTCAGATCGCGAGGTGTGACGTCAGGTATTTATTTTAAGGAAGAAAACTAAAGTTTATCAATCACATTCGGGTGACTAATTGACTTATGTTTGCCTTTCGATACGATCATAACAATGTGTATTTCACAATAATAGAAGCAAAATTAAAACGCATAAATAATAAAATCAAATCATTTATTGGTGTAAAATCCAAATATTGGATTGTTACCAATATTTACAAACATTCAAAATTCGAAGTTGATAAACTTTATTTAATAAGTATATCATATATATAGATATTTTGGAGAAGGTGATACTTTTGCAATTTTGAGAATAAAAGTGCAATATTCTCAATGAGTAATTGTTATACTACAAATTTTAAGATTTGAAAATACTGTACCGACTACGAATCATTATAAAATTTTGTTGAAAGATGGGACAATACTTTCGACTTCCTAAAAAAGTTGTTGCCTACGTTTTTCTAGAATTTGACGTTTAAAAGCAAAATGAAATTCATCTTCAATACCCCTTTTACCGGCAGAGGTCACATAATCTTTTCTGAAGAGGTTATTTACGGTGTCTATCCTATTAAGAATTTAAGATCGACTACTTCTTAATCTTATTTAGAAAAAAATAGATATATCATGTATCAGTCTACATCTATCAATAGAAAAATTCTCATGAATTTCTAATCATTTTCAAATTTTCTGTAACGGTTCTTAGTTTGTTTCCATTTTGGTCATTATAAAGACTATTTCCAGAAATCTATATATCTTTCAGCTAATTTATTCCCTACAGCCCATGATTTATCAGGGTTTTTTTTTAAAGGGTTTTGATGTTCACATACATGATTGAGCCCTATTTTTAAAAGAGCATCATTCTTTCAAATTTGCAGCAAACCATTTTGTAAATTTATAAGCAATTGCAGCATAACTTTCTTCTTTTTGCATTAATTTATCAGATGGCACCAACACCTATAGTAACATTTGAAGCATCAATAGCAACAGGAAACATGTCTATTTCTGCTAAGAAATGAAAACAACACGTTATTAATTTCGTGCGTCCGAAGAGCTTCTCTGGATTTACCACCATCAAGAACGCTCAAAGCCGAATTTGAAAGCCGAGGATGTATAAAAACCGAAACAGTTGAAGGGCTATATAAACAAAAAGTACTTAAAAAAAACCCAGCAAAATCCATCCAAGGCCAACTTTGCCTGAAGGAGTTAACACCTTAGTTTCTTTATAATTTTAAAATTTATAAACGGCCGGACAATTTTAGAAAGGTTTGTTATTAATCATGTCAGTACCGAAGTACCGACAACTGAGCTGGTGATAACCTCGCTAACACTGCTGTGTTAACTGCAGCTTTATTTGCACCAACAAGATATTTAGCAAATTTTATTTGGAATTTTGATAGCAAATTAAAAAAGAAAAATATCTACATTCAATTAAGACTTGCTTTTAACATCCACTTCATTTGAACTTCGGTAGATAGTTGTCTCATATATAGGCAATTTCATACCATATCTCCTTATTTTTAGATTGAATTGTTTACAACTTTCATATCACGTGCACATATTTCACTGCAATAAAGGAGGGTCTGAATTGGGTTTACAGAATAGAGAATAATAGGGGTGGGGGGAGTGCAGAATAAAGGCCAAAAAATATCATAAAGAATAGAGAAAAATAGACATCCCCATTCAGACACTCATAAAGTAGTATCGGTTACAACCTCTTTCCAACAAATTGTGGGTAAATATATAAGCGCAGAGAATAAAAGCTTTCCAAAATATGCTTTCATGATTTGTCATGATATTGCCTGAATTGACGCGGGCATATGCTTTACTTAGTATATTGTTACACATGTTAACTGATTATTATAGGGTTTTTAATGTTTGTGTTTGTGTTATCTTTTTGGGATAGGGGTGCAAAATCCACAGCTAGGATATCGCTGAAGCCCCTATTGACAATCAACTTCATAGCACATACTTAAGAGTCTTTTTCATCTATTCTAAATTAAAAAGTTTTAATAAAACACTGCCCAATACGACTTTCTATGATTTCAACTCTCCGTAACTTGAAGTAAATTTGCAACATCAAAATTCAAAACTTATATGCAAATCCTCATGTGTACTCCAATACAATACCATTTTGATTTTGATTTTCCACATTCAATTGATTTAGCTCTGAGATGTCATCAATCTTTGAAACTTTTGTGGACTGTGTTAACCATGCTCAAGACTTCTAAAAAGAGACGAGCAAGTCCTTAAATTTTACATGCGATGTACTGTATAACTTCTTTCTTCTACAAGACTATCTCAGTACAGGTACGGCAAAATAGATTAATTTATATTTAGCTACAAGCTGGTCACAAATGCACTTGTTCATCGAAATATTAATATCATAGTAGAGAATCTTGGTGGGGTTTAAACAATCATAGGATAATTGGGGAGGGGCAAAACATGAAGAATAGAACAAAATGGCTTTAACATTAAGAAGACACCCATGAAGATACTCTTGGACCACTTCGTCAGTTTCAGAATTATGAGATATATCAATTTCATAGCCGAATATATATGTCAACGTTTATGAAGAAAATATATGTTTCGATCGTGCTTTTTTGACTCTGTGGTACATCTGTCGATAATAGTGATCATAATACAACTATTCACCGAAGACGAAAAATGATAACTATAAAATTAAGGATATGACAAAACTTTAACAAATGACCTAATTCAGCTGAGACATATCTCACGTGAAATTAACATCACGATGACAGTTCAATAAACAAGACCGTGCATGCGTACTGAAACTACTATGTGTGCTATATTATAGTATCAGATGAGAATATAACAAATATATATGGCATATATCCGGATATATTATCAATCTTGTTTTTCTTATACACTGTAATATCGGCCACTGTATACATTTAAGTAGATTTCAAATGCAGAGAAACATATATGACCTTGTTCAATGGCTATATACATATATGGTAAATAAGAATGTGTTGGTCACTACTATAATATATACACAGTATGAATTTTATCAAAGTTCATTGAACCATTTGGCCGTTCGAAATTTGACCTCTTCTAATGTACTTCACATAATTATCTTTACTCATGGGCTTGACGACATACTCAATCATAATTAATTATATATAAACGAATAAAAAAGGTTAAGTTATAAGATAAAAGGCAGCAGTGTATTGTATTCTCAAATTTTTTAAGAACTTATAAGGCTTATTTTTAAGGGAAAGTGGAAAAGGGGCGGGATGGGGGTACAGTTTTGCTCTAGGGCTATTATCCCTTAATTGTGCTGTTCCTTTGGTAACATCAACCGTGAGATACAGAGCTGGTTTTCCTTACTGCGTATTCGTAAGACTTTTTTGTTTGGGGTGGTGGGGGGATTGTGTTGATTTTTGGATGATGGAATTATAATACTTCAACAAATCCAACTGCATAGTAACAAATTCAACTATATACATAGTAACAAATTCAACTACATAGTAACAAATGCAAATACATAATAACAAATTCAACTACATAGTAACAAATTCAACTACATAGTAACAAATTCAACTACATAGAAACAAATTCAACTACATAGTAACAAATCCAACTACATGTATTAACAAATCTTACAAAGAGATATTTAATCCTTATAATTTTACGTTGAAAATGGGCAGCCAACAAAGTTGATTTCATTTACCTCTCCAGTGCAAAGATATTTTTTTACACATATAAATTCATCAACAGGTATATCATGTACAGATTTAATTTTTTTTTTAAATATATACTCTTTCTTTTTTCATCTATATCGTTTGATTGGAATAGGGCCGTTGTAGCGTAAAACCTGGTGCTTTCTTCAAGCTTAAATCTTTTTCGATAACCATTCAAGGAGTTCGTACAGGTCGCCGGTATATAATTTCTGTCCAGTACCCAGAACCCTATTTTCCTATTGAATATGAATGAAATACTTGCCACTGAACGTTTAGCTAACACCAATTAAACAATCTATCACTTGCAAAGAATCGTTAACGATCGATATATCTGGATGACACAAAGAAAATGTGTACCTCATGAAATATTCATTCAGTCAGTCATTTCGTTTTTTTTTTAGATATATTCAAATATACTAAAGTCTAGAATTTATCGCTTACAATTGTTGCAATATGATCAATATTGCCAACAGAAATATATTTCACGTTTTTAACAACTCACACTATTGATTAAAATTACATTTATACGGAAAATTGAAAGTTTGATTGTCTCTTATTACAATTGTGCATATACACTTTTACAATGTCTCATTTTTATGGAGATGCAAATACGTGGTTTATAACAATAGACAATGGTTTCTGACTAGATAGTTAACCAAATTGATGAAATGATAATGAGATTTTTAAAAAGCTCTATGACAATATGTTAATATATTTTTTCTCATAAAAAAGACTGTAACTTTCATCCAACTATCTATTGGAATGTCGTAAATAGACCTAAAACTGTAAAATTATATATATATATATATATATATATATATGAACTCGGGGTAGTTCGCACATCCTTCGACCAACAACAAAGACTATCGGCATGATATGCTATTTCAAGTGGTCCTTTCTGTCGATGGTTTAACGATGTTATGAATTCTGTAATACTTCCGATTTAAATTAAATTAAACAACTTTAATTCATAAAACCGTGAGCTAGGAGATTTTTTTAGCGGCAGTATTCAACCATCAGCTCTTGCTTCCTGCATGTAACAACCATCAGCTCTTGCTTCCTGCATGTAACAACCATCAGCTGTTGCTTCCTGCATGTAACAACGAACACATTTTTGTGTCGGCTGTTTTTTGTGCGGTAAGCGCAACCATTTTGCGTGTACCAAGTCAGACTATCTGGAACATGTGTCATGTAATTTATTGGTAGCTTGAAACACCCCCCCCCCCCAAAAAAAAAAAAAAAAACAAAGACTGAACAGTCAAAAACTCTGTTTCTAACTGTGACTTCGGTAAAATTAATTATCTTATTTCTTTCAAAATATATGTTAAATGTGCGGTGGGTCTTAGAGGTTATACTACACCAGAGCCCTCAATTACCCAATTGATTCATAACTATGATTACTTCGAACTCCCAGTGGCAACTATTACAAGTATATTTTGACCGATATATATTATCAGTGACACACGAAAGTTATCAACCTCAATTTATACTAAATCAAACATTAATTCATCGTGAGCAATGCCCCTTTACAGACTTTGATAATTTGATATTTCTCATGGCAGTCTTCCTACAGAGATTTCTGTTAAATGAGAAAACAAACTTTCCTTTTGTTGCTTTTCCTTTCCTTGGTGTTGTTTTGTTTGCTACTTCACATGGAGTGTACATGGTCAATTTTAAGACATATTTGAAAGCTGAACAAACAGAATATAGGATATTTATATAAGGTCTGTTTCAAACTGACGATTGGTGATTTAGAGTTTGAAAAATAAGGTTGCAACTCCCTCATGCAAAGTTGTCCATTGAAGGTTTAGGACGTTCTGTTAAGATCAACCCTTATGGTTGAATGCTATCAAGTGAATTATATTTTGTGATTTCCAAACTATATGTCTGGTGATTACCTGATGAAGATTTTTTGTCTCGCCAGCGACAAAAGTCGCAGAATGCGAGACTTAGGGATTTAAATCTAGTGGTGGCGTAAAATATTCGTACAAAGCTTTATATTTCAGAGGGTAGAAGACCTGGACGCTTCATTCCTTGTTTACCGATGCTTTCCTTATGTTACGAGGTTTCCGTCTGTCATATGTTCTTTGTACGTTACATTCCTTACTTTGTTCATCGATTGCTTAAAAAATGTATAGTTTATTGTCATGTTAATTTCTCACTAATTGATGAGAAAAAGAAGAGATATTTTTGGTATATAGGTTCCTTGCAAGGTCAACATGTCAGTCAGATGATAGTTCACCTGACCTTGACCTTATTTCATGGGACAGTTATCAAGGTTCGGTCAATAACTTTGATAATTTAAAAGTCAACCACATTATGTGTATGGAATGATTGTAAGGTGTGCATGTAAGTCTGGAAGATTTCATCTGACCTTGACCTCATTTTCGTGGTTCATTGGTTAATGTTAAGATTTTGTGTTTAAGACTGTAAGAAATAGGTCATGTATATGGCATTTTTTATCTGACCTTTTCCTCATTTTCATGGTTCAGAGGTCAATGTAAAGTTTTCACGGTAAGATCTGTTTCTTAGGTATTTCAAGTAAAGAACAATTATATTTGGTGTATGGAATGAATGGTGTACATGTCTGTTTGTCAAGTATATCTGACCTTGACCTCATTTTCATGGTTCAAAGGTCAGCCTTACAAAGACAAAAGTTCAAGTGTATTTTCAATCCTTTTGTTTATTTTTGTTAGACCATTACATTATTGTCTTCTGTGAGTTTAGTCTTCGCTCATCTGTATCAAACTTTGCAGGTATAATATCTAAATGTTCCTTTACACAAAATTCCCATTTTCTTATTATCAAAAGAGGGAGAAGACATCAAGTGGCAATAAAAAAAACAAGTCGAACAGAAATGAGCAACATCATGGGAAAAAAAACGAGAGAAAGGCAATATTTGTTCACAAAACACAAGAGTGCACACACTGAAATGTCTCACCTGCTTTACTGATCATGATCGAATTTACGTTGAAAGTCTTAAAAAAAAAGTTAATACTACAAACATTACATAAAACTACCAGCCATAGTTTACCTTTTGCTTATAGATTCTGAGAAACATACCCAATCTAGAAAACTTAGCTTCAACCAATAAACCATGAAAATGAGGTCAAGGTCATATGAACTCTGCCAGAAAGATATGTACAACATTCAATCAGAAAAGCTAACAGAATATTTTATGGACAATAGTTAAAAACAACAGTAAAATCAATCTGGAGAAGATTTTCTTTCAATTGCACCCTGCCTCATGCAGAAAAAAAATTAACCAAAGGATGACATGCATAAAAAGATGAACTGATAGGGTATCTTGATGCAAATCATTTCAATTCTATTTTAGTCATACATCATACACCAAGGGCGTTCCAAAATGACATCTCTAAGAATTCCTGATGGAAATTTACCTGTACTGATTGAATGTTTTTTGTTTAACATCCAGTGGCAAAAATTTCCTGCATATACAGACAAGCAGTTTATGAAGGAAGGCATAACCATTCAGCAGCGAAAATAAAGTCAGTGCTGCATTTAAAACATTTTAGGTTTGTTTAAGGATAAATGATATAAGTGATTTAATTGTTACTCATATGATACTGTGGATTTATTTAATTTTTGTGGTCTAAAATTTTTCATGAATTGATGAAAAATAGAATTTATTATGAATACTTGATTTGTGTTTTTACTAATTCTGCATACAAGCTTTTTGGAAATTTGAATTTTGTTGAACATTTATATTCCTGGATCACTGAATCCACAAAAGTTAGTATCCCATGAATAATACTTGATTGATTGATTGTTTATTGGTGTTTAATGCTTCTTTCAGCACTATTGTGTTTTGTATTGGAGTAGGAAGCAGGAGTGCCAAAAGATAAACACAATCTTCAGGAGGAAAATTGACAATCCTTGTAGATTAAGATTGGGCCGGGTCGAACACATCTGCAGGATTCTATCTCCCATCCTCAGTGTTGACAAGTTAGTTGGTTCATGTCGGTCATATTTGTTTTTCGTAAATTGTTTTGTTATAAATTAGGCTGTTAGTTTTCTCAATTGAATTTTTTCATATCTTTCATGTCGGGGCATTTTATAGCTGACCATACGGTATGGGTTTTTCTCTTTTTTGAAGGTTGTACAGTTGCCTATAATTGCTTACAACCACTTCATTTGAACTTTGGTGGATAGTTGTCTCATTGGCAATCATACCACATCTCCTTATTTTTATATAGTGTTACAGGAGAGGAAAAATTAAACCACTCAACCACTGAGGCCTCCGAATAATAATGAATCCTCAGTATCACATCATGGAGAATATCCACAGTATTCCTGGCACAATTATTTTCGACACCAAAACATTTCTAAAAACATAATTTATATCTTTCTTTTATTGGCTAACAGATGTAAATAGTCCAAATTGTAATATTTTTCTTACAGTCAAAACAAAAATGGAATATAAATTATAATTAAAAAACATTAATAAAAAGTTATTTTCTCAAGCTGCATCATTAGAAAGGGATTCTTGGACGGAATGTAAAAGTACACTCAGTTTAAATTTAGAACGCATTCAAATAAAAATTTCAACTAAATGAAATTTAAATAATTATATAGACCATTACAGAAAAAAATCAAATATAATAAAAAAAAAAAACATTTCTATTTGTTCTACTTTAAAAATACTGAAAAAAAATCATTAAATGCATTTCTTTTAATTATTGTTGCCATTTTTTCTCACTGTTGTCTTCAATGCTATACATTTCAATGAAGAAAAGGTTTTAAAAAAATTGTACTGTTCTTCTAATACCTGTAACTGAACTTCAGAAAATTAATTTTTGTTCTTTGGATATCTGAATTTTCATATCATTATCTGATGTTTATAGATGCTTTAATTTTAATTTTAGTAATTTATGTTCTATTGATAACTGAATTTTAACTTAATCAACTGTTATACTATTATTAGCCAAAGTTTTATGTAATCAATTAATGTTCAACTGATAACTGAATTCTATTGTTATTGATTGTTGTTCAACTAATAACTTAAGTTTAAGGTAATAAATTGTTGTTTAAATGGTAACTGAATTTTATTATAACCATCTGTTGTACAACTAACCAAATTCTAATACAAATAATTGTTGTTGTTTTATTTACTTAATTAATATTATTAAATTGTTGTTTCTTAATTAACTAAATTTAAATAATTTTGGTTGTTATACAAACATTTGTTTATGTTTATGTTCAAGTAATAACAAGACAAAAGTAACAATACTAGACAAATATTGCAAAATGCAAATACACGTACACTGATGTAACCCCTCCCCCTTTTTCACCCCTTCCCCTGTTACAAATTATCACCAACATCAGCACTTCTTTAAAATTTACATATTAGTTTGTCTGATAATAACATGAAATTAAACTATTGCCAAAAACATATCAAAATATATCTTTATAATTTTAGGCAGTACAATATTCTTTTTTCCCCCAAATATCACAGATTTGTCATGTAAAATTGTTGTCCATTGGTTAAACAGTCCTGCACTATGAGTATCGAGCTTTTTCATTGGCCAAAGCAAGTCTTCTGATGTTTCCTATACAACCAGCTGAGGCTTCCTGTAATTCTTCATCCTGTGCTCCGACCATTTTTATTAAAGGCTGAAAGAAAAGAAAGGCAATATTTATTAAAAACTCATAAAAAACACATGTCATTTAACATTTAATGACATTTTCTTCATGAAAGTTTACATAAGTTTTTATTGGCATAGAAAAATTTTAGGATTTGACTGGCCTGCCTTTCCTTTATTTGTATTGCTTTATAGACAAAAGAACTTGGTAAATATCAGGGCTTACACTACTTCAGAATCATATGGAAAAGTGACTTTTCTTTTTTAAACTGATAGGAAGAAGACTTGAAAGAGAAGTGCATGCAACGCTGTTGTTTACAGCCCACTATGTTTAGTAACTTGACAATGATATCTTTCCGTTTGTATCCTACTTCTTTCTTTTTTTTTGTGTAATGTATAAATCCTATAATGTATCATTCTAAGCCTGAGATGACTACTATTACAGAAAAGCGTGAAATTTTTCAAGGGGATTATTTTGGCTTAAATTCACAATTAAGATTAAAATCACCATAATGTCTATGGGCATAAACTCATCTTTTAAAAAAAAGATCAGAATCTAGGACTTAGAAAAACACCAAAATTAAACATTACAAATATATAGAAACCATGACATTTAAACTCCGCTTAAAACACTTTACACAGAAAAAACATAAAATATATTACCTTAACGACGCCAGCTTCATGCATTGTTATACAATTTTCAGGATTTTTCGATAACTGGAACAAAGCTTTGGCTGTTGATCGGTGAACATCTTCATCTGTAGATTTCAAATATTTAACAAGAGGGGCTACAGCACCTTCTCGTCCGAAAGCTGTTCTGTTGTTGCCCCAGTTACAGCACCGAGCTATGGCTTCTGCTAAATGCCTCCTCAATCTGTCATCAGTCTGTGAAAAAGATACAGATTAAATGTTTAAGCATCAATATGCAAGCAGAAAATTACAAGATGGACAGAACATCCCCCCCCCCCCCCACCCTTTTTTTAAAGAAGAATTCAGAATCTGTATTGGACTTCTTTTTTGATAAAAAGTTTGAGAAAACATTCGTTATCAACAACAATACTTTAATCTACTTAAAAGATTTAACTGAGCTTATTAATAAATAAATTAATTAAATTAAATCGTCTGAAATTAGATGCGAGATAATTTATATTGTAAACCAAGTAAAATTTAACCATTGAAAGACAATAGTGTTGCAGAAAAACGTTTTCTATTTTCACATGTCACTTGGGTCCAAAGTAAAAACTTTAATTCATTAGTTGTTTGTGATATGGATGTTTATACTCAAGCATTCTAAAGAAGTAAAAAGATCACTCAAATATAGGTCAGAAATTTTCTTAAGAGAAAAAAAGGTTAACTATAAAACTTCATAAATGTAAGTCATAAAAATATTTTTTAATATTGATAATATTTTACAAATTTTTGTTCATTATCACAATTAATAAAACAATAAAATAGAACATTTCATGATCCAATTTGATATGCCAGTATAAGGGATGACAAATATATATACAATATAAATAAAACATTCATAGCGATCCATTTTATGGAAAAGATAGACTTAAATGATGCACAATCTCGGTTGTTTTAATCAGAGATCACAATTTAAAGTATTTGGACATTTATACTCTCATAACTTTACTTCTTTATGCATAATCCAATGCAAGCATTAAATTACAAGATGGACAGAACGACTCCCCGCCCCCCCCTTTTTAAGAAGAATTCAAAATCTGTATCGGACTTCTTTTTTAATAAATGTTTGAGGAAACATTTGTTATCAACAACAATACTTTAATATACTTAAAAGATTTAACTGTCAGTGTAATACATTGGTACATCCTGAATTAAGAAAAATACGATTCTATAATCTGTTTTTATCAAATCTATTTCAATGTTTACAAATAATTATTAAGACCATTTAGATGAGTATCCTCCTTAGAGACAGGATTAAATGCCTGTCATCCAATATTGCTACAGTAAATATCTGTCCTGGAGACAAATTACATAACAAAAATCTATTTTTTTAATGGAAATTTAACCTGGAAAATGTACATTATTGATAAGGTATAAAAAATACAGTTGTTGCAATTATGTGAGGTTCTGTTCTGGGAAATTATTTTCTAGTGATGGAATTGGCTGGAAAATTATTATGTGTGAGGGTCTGGATGGGGTTTACAGAATAGAGAATGATGGACAAAAAGTGCATAATAAGGGGCCAAAAAATTAAGATTAGAGAAAAATAGGCAAAAAAATTAAAGAATAGAGAATATTGGGCTAAATTATAAAGAAAAGAGAAAAACGGGTGAAATATATTCAGAATAGAGAAAAATTGTATACAAAATTGAAAAATAAAGAAATGAAGGACCCCCATCCAGACCCTCATGTATTAAATGAAATAATCAGACAACATGCTTACCGATTCCACTTTTCAATTATAATCAGTTTTTTATTTATATGCAAATAATGTAACAAATTTGGTTTTCCTTAACTGAGATATATTTGTGCTCAGTCAAATAAAGTATTGTTTACAGTAGTAGAATTATCAAACATAGAGATCCATGGATACAGAGTAATATACACCAGAAAAGTGTGTATATTTACAAAATGGATATTTTAGGAATTTTTTACCATGTTTTCAAAGAGATGTAAAAAAAAAAAAAAAAAAAACTTAAATAATTTTGTGCGTCATAAGCACTTTTCTGGATTGACCTTCATCAGGAATGAATCAAACCCTAACATTTTAAATCAAGGATGTTACGTATAAGAAATCATGTATAAGAAAAGTTTATGTTAGAAAATACTACAATTTTTCATAACTTTTATCAATTATTGAAAAATTATTATCAATCAATCAAATTTTCAATATATATATCAAAAGATTTTTTTATTATGATCAATGACCGATTTCTATCTAATTCAGGATATACTTAAGGTTGTTAAAACAAGTTCAACAACAGGAAATCTAAAAACTCATGTCAAATATACAAAATCTTCATACTTGTTTTTAACAACTCACTTCCTTACTTTTATATGACACAGTTAATATCATATGATGCAATGTCCCATATTCATGGTTTGGTCTTTTTTCTTCAAATAAATTGTTTTGTTTCTAATTTTCTTGGAAAAAAGATTGATTTTCAGAAGGGAAGTAAAAAAATTGTAAAGGATTCTATTGAAAATTAGTGATAAAAAAATCTAAATATATAAACAGGAAAAAATAGTCAATTTATCTCATTGATTTTTTTGTTTAAAGTTGAATACATTGTTTCCTATAAAGGATGAATGGGTAATCTAATCTGACAATAAATGTAATTTTTTTTCTTTAATTGTTTTGAATATTCACTGTTCAGTTCTATTACTTAAAGGAATACAGATCTACAAATTGAAGCAAAAGCAACAGAATTTGTAACAATCAATTCTATATAATAACATATTTCTTGTTTTGTAAATTCACTCAGTCCCCCTTTTTTTTAAAAAGGAAGCTAGGAAAACTAAATATGTCTTTCATGGGAACATATTCCTTTAATTTACAACATCAAACGAAAAATGATTTAAGATATGGTGGACAGAAAACACTATGTGGTCCTTCCTGGCTTTTGACAATCACAGTATCTGATAAATTTGTGAGAACTCAACCCTCCCTATTAACTTGGATAGTGATGTAACTACACAACAATAAAAAAATGTGTTAAGGGTTCCCCGGAAGCCTGTGTCTCGCCTGCTATTGTTGTTATCATTGTGTAAAATTGACTGTTAATTGAGACCATTTATCAGTAAAATACAGGACAAAAAATAATAACTTCCTCAACATAAATGTCGCAGACTCAACAAAAATTAGTTGTAAAGCGATTGACTTATCAGACTGAGTTAATTCACACATTAATCTTCTATATCCTCTACACTAAATACCTCGACATGGTATTGCTCACCTAAGAGATTAAACAATGTTAGCACTTAAAAATGTCAATAAAAATCTAAATAATATTGATAATCATTTAAATACGGACTCAAATATTTCAATCCACCAATTAGTTTATGTTATATTGGAAATACTAAAAATGGCAACATAATAATCACAAAGCTTGGGGTTTACATGTGCGGGGGAAGTATTAAATTCTTGAATTGAATTGAACTCTTTAACCTTTTGTTTCTCCCTTTCGCATTCTCCCATTTCAAATTTTCTAACTATCCCATCACATATATGCTTTGTCTAATTAAATATCTCTAAACCTCTGTTGGCTTATTTAAAACTACATTATCTCTATATATGGACATTAAACAATGGCCTTAAAAGAAACATCTTATCAATGGACTTTAGTGTCTTCTAGCATAGAAAACCTTTGTCCTTTGGTATCCTGTTCATTATTTCAAAGTCCACTAATTTTTTCTCTCTTTTGTCCTTCCTCATATTCAGCATTTCCCCCCCCCCCCCCCCCCCACCTGATTCTCATTTTTTTCAAATCTCAAACCTTCACAGTAATCTTAATCCTCCCAATGCTTATTAAATGAGGGTCTGGCTGGGGTTTACAGAGTAGAGAATAATGGATAAAAAAAAAAAAGAATTTAGAAAAATTTGCCAAAAAAATAGAGAACAATGGGGTGCAACAATAAAAAGAATAGAGAATAATGGGCCAATAGAAAAAAAGATTAGAGAAACATAGCCTAAAATTTTTAAGGATACAGAATTGAGAACCCCCCCCCCCCCTCCTTTTTCTCCTTTCCAATCCAGACACTCTTAAATCAACCCACTAAAAGAAGATAATATAAGTTATTGTAAGACAATTGTAAATCAATGCAAATTTATATTAAGTCTACTATATATAATGTCAAAATCAATTGACGGAATGCAGAACCAGAATAATAAATCTTGATACTTAAAAGACTGGCGATGCTTGGATATTTTGACAATGTGCCATATTCAGTTAGATATAATTAAACCAGATATTTACGATAAATCAAGGTCGCCACATATGTTACCAATATAATGAATATTTGTCAATGAAATAGATATTTATGAACAGATAAAAGAATATCTATTAGGATTGGAGGAACATTCATAGTTATCATATGACTAATCACGATAACTTATTTTATACAGTAAATATGTGATCTGTATAGATATGAATAGCATTCTATTGGATTTTTTTATTATATAAAAATGAAGGCAAAGCATTTTTAAGATGAGTTTTTCAACAAGTCCACACACCAAAAAACTTTCTTGAGGAAATAAATATCATCTCCGTTCTATTTCTCAAAACAAAAATAATTGTAGAATTTGCTTTTTAAATTTTTTTATAGTGATTAGACTCTTCAATAGTTTGTTTTTATGTATGACCCCTTTTTTACCAAATTAGAACGGTTTGCAGCAGTCAGATTCAGGGGGAAAAAGGGGTGTTTACAGGGAGTGCCTGATCGAGTTAAATATGACCAGATTAGAGTAAGTTGCAGCCCATTCAGATTCAGGGGGAAGGGGATGGGTAGTCCCATGGAGGGCTTTAGACTAATTTTTCCTATGCATTTTTTTTCTAAATCACTTAAAAATCTGCAAAATTTAAAATTGAACACATTTTCTCCAAGGTATTAACCCTCACACCCCTTCTTTTTCCAGAGGTTGCTAGATAAACTCCTGCACTAAATGGAAGCTATTTGGTAATTGATTGCTTAACATCATGTCAGTGCAAAGGTGCTATATTACAGACGAGAGCCCTTACTAACAGATAATCAAAATAGATTTGGCCTGCAAGCATCAAACCAATGCTTGTTTTATTCTACGGATAAGTATTTTGGTATTGCATGCCATGTATTATCCTTATAACAATAAACTTGTATAAATAATTAAAGGACAGGCAATGATTCAGACGGAGTCGCACACTGAACCCCCCCCCCCCCATAAAATTTAAAAAAAATGTAATTTATAGGTAAAATTACAAAAAAAATTGTCAAAATATGGTTCTCTAACTCATATTTTTAGGAGCTCCTCCCCCTTTCTCCTTTCCACATCAAATCCTGAATTTGCGCCTGAAAAAAATATATGGTTTATGATCATATGAACTGTAGATTAAGGAATTAATGTCCCAATTTTTCACATTTAATTGATTTCTTAAGGGAGAAATTCTATCCATAGACACGTCAGGATAATAACTACCTGGGTCAAAAGATGTTTCAAAAGGTACTATTATTTAAATGTTAATCAAACAAATAATGGTGGTTATTAAAAAAGATTTAATCATATGATATAGGTACAGAGTGAAATTTAATAAGCTGTCTATAAAGATTTAAAAAAGTCTATTATAACTGTTTTTCAAAATAGAACCAAATAATTTTAATGAAGAAAAAAAAAGATACAATCAAGTCACAAAAAAAAACCTTCTCCACACATAAATTTCCACCTTTTACTCTCTTTATTTGATATTGCAGAAACAACTTCACACATAAGTCCATTAAGCATTGTCTTTATTATTCTTTAATGTTATATCTTAATGTTTTTGACCTTTAATTTGGTGTTGGTGGCAGAAAGTCTCTGTTCGCTTCATGCACAACTTTTCTAGACACTGTGCAATGTATTGGATTTGTTTAAGGATGTTCGCTTCTCTTGTTTTTGACTAATTTTGTCAGATATTGGGAATCCTCTGGTTTTATTCATGTAGTGCCAAATTTTGTCAGATATTGGGAATCCTCTAGTTTTATTCATGCAGTGCCAAATTTTGTCAGATATTGGGAATCCTCTAGTTTTATTCATGTAGTGCCATTCAAAATTTGCCTGCTAATCCCTACTTTTCTTTTCATAATTTTATTACAAATAGTTTAAAAAGACATTTTTGAAAATCTTATAAAACACTTGGTATTTTTTCATAGTGTTTGAAAGAAAATAGGTACCAATGTTAAATGAATAAAAAATCTAGAGAGAATCATTCCCGCCAAATTTTCAATTGCTTATATCTCAAAAACAAGATCATTTTTTTTCTGCTTTTTAAGTTCCATTATTTATATCCTACCAATTTATAAGTCTTTTAAAAAGCTTGTTATTTTGAAACAGAGGAGCAAACATCCTTAATTATATAGATACTTGTCTATTGTTGAAGCAGTCTGCACCATTTAAGCCAGTAGTCCAATGCCCCAGACTAGTTAAAATTTATTCAGACTAGTAAGTATTTGCAAAACTTTGTTTAGATACATAAGAAATCTGAATATTAGTCTTCACACTAGTAGTTGGAAAAGATTTTGGTGCAGACTGTTGAAGACCTTTCATATTGAGCTCAAGATGTTGTGCCCTTGAGTTCTTGTCTCAATGACCTATAATACCTCCCTTCTCCATTTAATCAATGTTATTTACCCATCATGCATTTCAAAAAAGTACCTATTACTATGGTTACATAACTTCTCAGTTCTTTTCAACATTAAAAAAACAGTAAGTTTAATGACAATTTATTAAATTCTATATTAGGAAAAACTAAAAAATATCGTCTTTTAAAAAAAGACCTAATTATTCTGAGGTCAACATTGCACATATCATAATTGTGTTGAATTACCAATTGGGTCTCAATTCCTTTACCATAATAATAATTAAAAAAATTGTGTTTTTAGGTACAGCTAACTCTAATATGATTTTATCATGATAAAGGTACAAATGAATAAACAAATGCCTAATTCAAATCACCAGATATAGATAGTATTTCCTATATTAGTCATTTTGGTTATGATTTTTAATCTTAAATGTGAACTCTGCCCACTTAATACTTCCTGTTCACACCTAAAACATCACTAAAAAGCTATTTTTACGAATTTTTTTTTTAGTAAAGATGATACATTTTGTGTATCAATTAAACAGAGGCTCCATTAAGGAATTGAGGACAAATAAATAACTACATGAACTATCCATTTAAGGATTGATAGCTGTTCTACGTATATAACCAACATCACCGATAAATTTTTATATGTCTCCTGAACCTCTTTAATCTATATCCTTTTGTTCTTTTATAATTAAAGTATAAAAGCTGAAATAAAACCATTGACCAATAAAAAATGTACATCTATTTGTCTTACTCTAGCTTTTTTCCAATGTTTTGGCTGATAGACCACAAATTCTTCAACCTGGAACAATTATCCAAATTGATATATGTACAAGGGGAGATAACTCATAGCAAATCAATATTGATGTATTTCCATAATAAATAATAATATGATTTTAGGATAAGAATGAATTTTGAATGATAAACAAACAACTATAAAAAATTGTAAATTTTCAAATCAGTCAAAATAATTTTGCAGGTATAGCCAATTATGGACCAATTAGTTAGCAGTGATCACATGAATTCACATGAATATTCATGATAGAATGCTTTGATCAGCCAATCTTATGCTTAATCATTGAAATTATTACATGTTGACGTTAACTCAAAAAGGACTGCAGCTAAACTCTGATTAATGAAGTGCAGCATTCCAACACTGTGGAAAGATTACCACTCATTGGTGACATTTTGTGAAATTAAGTTTCACGGTCAAAGAAGAAAGAATACTTAATGATATTTTTATCTTCACAGTCAAAGAAGATTCAAGACTTAATAATTTTTATCTTCTCATTATAAATTTTCCAATCACTAGGACAGTCTGCTCTTAAAAACAAGGGCTCAAAAAGTGAAAGTCTAAGTCTCTAACCATTTATTTAGAAACAGCATTCAGTTTCTTTGAATAAAAATTACTGAAATTGTCCTTGAAATTCTTTAAAAGAGGAACAGAATCTGTTAAAATTTGAATTGAAACATTAAAAACTTGAGACCATAATTAAAACAGACTTCAGTTCTTATGTAATTTTCATGAGTAAAAAAGTACTTTAAAAAATTTGTATACACTATACTGAAATTTATTTGGTACCGAAAATATTTCACTGTTTTCCCTATTTGCACCAAACAAATACTTTACGGTCCATAGATACATAATACATGTACATGAATGAAGTCAAAACATGAATTAAGAACATAAAATGAACATGAATCAAAAAATATATGCCACTATGTCCAAAACATTTCCATAATGAAACTTAATTATTCAAAAAGTTTATTTTTAAAGTAGCCTTGAAAATGTAATGCAGTATTCATCATAAACAGTAAGGCAGACAGCCTTTTCTTATAAATTCTTTATGGGTCGTTCTATTCATTAAATTAAATGTGTAATTGCCTCCCATTTGAGTAAGTTTTGTTCTTGCCTTGGTATAAACAAATGACGAATTTGTCTCAGAGGGAATCATGTAGTTTCCTAATTTTTGTGAAAAAAATTTCTCAGACAATTGAAAAATAATGTTTCAAAAGGTAATTGTAAAATCTACTAAAAATGAGGGGGATGGGGTCACAAACTGTTAGGGAGCTCCCTTTTTGTAAGTCAACAAAAAGTTTGATTAGTAATGGGAAATTAAAGCATTTCAATTACACAGACTAAAAGTTTCAAAGCAGACCATATCTCCTGTTCTGACCATTGGATATTTTTCAGCGGAATGTAGTTGCTTAATCAAATTATAATTTGAAATTTGTTCAGCTGAATATATATTATAGTGTATTTCAAATGCAAATCAGGAGAAAAATTAGCAATAAAGGTAATACTGGACCCAATCTTTTGGCACCCCTTTAGTCCGAATATGTAAAGAATTTAAAACATTAGCTATTTAAAACTCAACTCAAATGGGAGACAACTCATTTAAAAATCATTGAATAATATATAAACATAATATTTCAGAGATGATGGATATGTGGACATAATAGATATATTTTAAAAGATAATAGTTTTACAAGAATTGCAACTCTCAAGTTTCAAACTTTTTGAACAAACCGTTTACCTCAGAATTAGTTCTAACACCTCTCCATGCAAACTGTAATGGGCCATATAATAATAACATCAATTGATAATTTAAAAAAAAAAATAAGAGAAAGATCAAATTAGGACAAATATAAGATAAAGTATTACTCTGGATTGCCATTGTCTCTCTCCATATTAGTTTTTGCCTAAGTTTGAATTTAACTTTATATTTTCAAATATTTATATAAAAAAAACACAAACAAATAGTTTTAATCAAATAAAACAATTTTCATGAAAAAATTCCAACTTCACACCTATACACATTTAACAAGATCTAAAAAGCAAAAAAAAATCACTGTGGCCTAAAATAGCAAAACTTATTTGTCAAATCTAACTCTATATTTGATAAAGGGACATAACCCTCAATTACTCTATTCCCCCTTCAAACAAAACTTACAGTATTTGTTAATCTTGCTAACATCGGTACCACACCATGATCTGTTATAACTGCTAAATTCTCCTCATCTTTGGCAATATTTGCTATAGCTGCACAAACACTTGCTAATACTTCTTTATGTTCTGATTTTAATAAACTAACTATTAGTTCTAAACCACCCACAAATGATCGAACCATTTCACCTGCATCCTACAAAATAGTTATAAAAAATATCTAACATGTAAGTTAAAAAGTTTTCATATTATAGGTATTATTTATTGAATAACTAATCAACGAATTCAAATATAGAAAAATATAATCGAGTGACCTACAATACAGTAATTCATGAATGTGCGTAGTGCACGAGTTAATTATCAGTGTTGTTCCATCACAATTTCGGATAGTTATTCTTGAGGGCTTTTTCTTATAGAAATAGAGTAGAAAATACAAGGACCTATATCTTTTTCTACACATACACAATTTCGTTTTGATGCAACATCTTCGACAATGTCTTGACAACACCCATTGTCTATTGTATATTACATAAAATGTATGAAAAAACTTTCATACGGATTGAGTTTGAATAAAAGCCGATATGGGGGTGTACGTTAATGAGACAAATTTGTCTTTTCAAACAGCACAAATAACAGTCTTCAACGATAGACAGATTAAATATACGATCCCTACATGAAAAATTGGGAGATAAATAGTATAAGTAATATAAAAACATTCTCTTTCATGTGTTTATGACACAGACCTATCTTCGCAAAAGCTATCTCGAAACAGCTATTTACATAAAACTTGACTGTTTTGAAATATAATTTTAGCACTCCAATATTCTCTATTCTATATTTGTCTGGTCCAATTTTTCTTTTCTGTATTTTTTTGGCCCATTAAAAATTCTGAATTATGTAAACCCCATTCACATTCTCATATAATGAAGCTTGGAAATTCGCTTTTTTTATAAGAACATCTTTAATCAGGAAATACACATTTAAAGGGAGATAAATCAGGTAAAACACACCGATATCTGCTGGCATACATTTGGAATATATCACTTCCTGCAACTTACCTTAGCATTTTCTATACAAGGACAGATTGCCCATGCAGCACTGGCTTGTACTTCTGGATTCTGATTTTTTAGTAAGGACCATAGTAATCGCACACCATCTAATTTATCTATAATACTGAAATATAGTACATTTTATCAGTAAATTTATCAACAAAATTAAAATCACTTTTTATTATTATGGTGTGCCAAAGTGCGTCTCTTGATTTACATTTACCAAAAATGCTCATACCCAAATATTAAAAAAGTCACCTATGTATAGAAACTCGAATATTTTGATGAGCTAATATCTGATAAAAAAGGACCTCGAAAGAATGACCGAATCCATCTGAGGTCAAATTTGCCTGAGGAAGTTGAACCTTAGTTTCTAAATAATTTCTTTATTTATCTAAGAAAGGTATGTTACAAATTATATCAGTATGGAAGCACTAAATACTGAGCTGATAATACCCCCTGGGACTAGCAGTCCACCAGCAGATCAACTCACTGTTAAAAAATTGTATTTCCATTGATATTTGATTTCAGGGTTTTGCCAAATTTCTTCATGCAAGCCTATAGAAAATGTGTATTACATTGAACTTTAAAATTCATAGTTAATCTTTACCCACAAAATTCACAAAAATTGGTATTCCACAAAGAGGGGCGTAAAGGGGGGTATCTGCACGGAAGAACGTGAAATAAAATTGCCATTTCACGATGCTCGAACAATTAAAAATTTCTTGCACGTTGATCTTTTAACTGATTTTTTAACGAAACACGGTGAATAACGAACCTTTTTCACGGCTGCATGTGAAATAAAAATGGCAAAACACGTTGCACGAAAATAACCCTTTACCACCTCCACGAATATCAATGAATCCACAGAAAATAAAAACTTACGCCATATTATCTTGTTCTTCTGCACACTGCCCTACTGCTGTTGTTACGTTGACTAACAATGATTGGTTTGTTCCTGTTAATAAATTAACTAATGGAGATATTCCTCCAGCTTTTCTTATCTGTGCTCTGTTTGGAGGATCTTTGGCCAGTTCACCTAATGCTCCTACAACATTTACTAATACCTGAAACAAAAATAGCAATATTAAAGGTTATAGTTGATCATTCAAAAGATCCAAAAAAGGACATTAGAAAGATAAAGAAAAAACATATTAGTTCATGTAATTTCCTGTTGCCAAACTACCCCTTAGCTTTGTAGTTGACCCTTAAACATTATGCCAGTAAAATTTCAACGCTGCCATTATGTAATTGACAAGATTACTGCCTAAATATATTTATATAATAAATAAATATTCTGAACAAATTTTATGAACTGCTGACTTTATTTTCCCATATTCTCAGATCTGAACACGATAATAATAAAGAAAATTTGAATTTAATATAGTCAGATTTTTTTCAACTGATTCCTTCAAATTCAATTCTGTAATACTTTGATTCTATAATCTACATTAAGTATTTAAAAATAAGTAAAATTACCTCCTCTGGTTGATTATTTAATAATGCTACAAGTCTGTCAACTGCTTTTAACTCCTGAAATCTCTGAACATTTTCTGGACTAATAGCACATTTCCAGATAGCTCCTGTAGCTGCAGCTAATAGTTCTTTATTTTCAGTTTTTTCTAATAATTTCACTAAAGGATCTAATCCACCATACAGCCTAACTAAATCTCTTGTTTCTTTTTCTTCTGCACACTGGTAAAAGGAAGAAATAAATTAAAATTAAATAAAATAAGAAAATCTTTTTGTTTGTCCTGTCTCACTCTCTAAAATATTAGCTATGACAGTATTCTTGAGTTTTGTTGATATCAAAACTGTGTATTGAAAGTATTTTGACAAAAAATTTCATTCAACTGTTTTAACTTCTATTACTATGAATGTATCTTGGTTAAGATTAAATTTGCATTTCCATTTAGAAAATTAACAAGATAAAAAGACGGAACAAAAAGAAAATCATCAAAAGATTTTGATTTTTGGTGTTTTAACGCCACTTTTAAGCACGGCTTTTGGGCTATTTCGTGGCGGCCAGTTTTTATTGGTGGAGGAGGCCGGAGTGCCCGGAGAAAACCACTGACCTTCGATAGGAAAACTGACAATCCTAGTCAATTAAGAATGCAGTCGAGTGCACCCGCACGAGTGGGGTTAGAACTCACAACCTCAGTGTTGACTGGCTAGTGATTACAGTAGTAACTACTTAGACCACTCGGCCACCGAGGCCCCATCATCAAAAGAAGGATTCAAAGAAAAAATAAAGCTGTCTTTAGTCAGCATGCTGCACCGACAGCTTAAATACTTTAATCGTCTAGAACATGCATGAAATATTTGTTATATTGATTCTTAAAAGGTCATAGTTAAGAGTTAAACATGAATATTAAGCATTTTACTTTTGATTCATAATACTTTGATAATTCTGAAATATTTGCTACTGGACATAAACAATTCAATTAACCATCTTACCTTAAAGATAGCTGCGGCACAATGCATCTGTAATTCATCTGTGCTACTGTTTAAATTTTTAACGAGGTCCTGTACCATTCCTTCTGTTCGAATGGCTAGTCTGTAATTTTGCTGAAAAGAGAAATTAAATATTAAGCAAGGTTAATAAAACTTGAATAAGAGAGACACAAATTCTCCCTGTAATAGCATTCAAGAAAAAGTTAAGTCTTCTTGACTATTAAGGAATTTCTTTTTAAAATCTCTTTATCTCTCATTTAAACTCTGATGGATAGCTGTCAGATTGGCAATCATACCACATCTCCTTTCTTTTATATGGTGCACTTCATTCTTCCAATTAAAAAAATGATACACCAGTATTAAATATCAATAATACTAGTTCCATTAGGACCCTCCCCCCCAAAAAAAACCAAAAAAAACACCACTCTAATTATACATTAAAATAAAATAAAATTGAGAATGGATATGGGGAATGTGTCAAAGAGACAACAACCCGACCAAAGAGCAGAAAATACCCCAAGGCCACTTATGAATCCAAGCATGTACCTCAGAAGAACATTCTTGTAATGTTCCGACTACCGGAATCAACATTTCTTCGTGTGTAGATTTGAGTAGTTTAGCTAGCAGTGGGATAGCTCCAGCTTTTCTCATGGCTTCTTTGTTCTTCCTACTCTTACTACAGCTCCAAAGAGCTAAAGCACCACAGCGGGCTACTTCTACATCTCGTTCAATTTCTGCATTCATTGGTCCGTTGACACTGCCACAGTCTAATAGTCCAACCTGAAATTAAATATGAAATTTCATTTTTCCGTTTATTTGCTTGAAATATTCTATTTAATTTTCTGCCAATGAAATGTTTATGCTTGTTAAACCTTACAGATGTCTATAAAAAAATCATTTTTAAATGTTTTTTATCAGATAATAAAAATGCAAAATTGACCTCTAGCCAGTGGTTCTGAAGTTCCATAGCATACTGGCAAAAGTCTTAGACATGGTTTGTCTTTTTAATAATGAAGGCCTCGGTAGCAAAGTGAACTAAGTAGTTCATCTATTCAAGGAATGACTGTTATATTTTTTCTGTCTATGAAGAAATAACATCAAAAATGTCGTGCACACTGAATAACCACAGGTTATTTAAAAGTGTGCACCACATTTTTTAGGTTATTTCGAATAGACAGAAAAAATATTACAGTCATTCCTTATAATTTAATTCTAAATTCCATTTTAAAGGAGTAAATCATGAAAAAAAGCGTTGATGACGTCACTGTCACATGACAAAATTATGTCTATGAGCTGATAGACAAAAAAAGACATGTTACATCCAAAATTAAATTATACAAAGATAACTAGTCTGTCAGCTCTAAGGTTGTAAGTTCTAACCCCGCTCATGGCAAAATGTTTTCAACCAGGATCTTAATTGACAAGGATCATGCTAGTTTTCTGCCAAAGAAAATATTCTTTTATTGCAAAAAAACTCTTATTGATATCTGTATAGTAAAAATTTTCATGCTGAATCTTCAGAAAATTTCAAAAATTGACTAGTTTTTCTGGTACATAAAATTGTTCATCCCAAAGAAAATTTCCTATTGCCACTTACCAATTTTTTAATTCCACCATGCTGTCTAACTGTACGTCTAGCTCTCCTGAATTTAGCAACATTAGCGATTGTCTCTGCAGCTAAACATTTAAGTTCCTTGTCATGCTCTCTTAATATTTTCACCATTGTCTGTAAACCTCCCAAGTCAGCAATAGCTCTTCTGATTTGGGTATTGCGTGAAATTTCCTTCAAGATTTTCAAAGCTCCAATCTGTAACATAGTCAAAAAAATATTTAAAATGCAGGTTCTTTCCTTTGCTGTCCAGGTCACTTTGCTACCAAAGGTAATATGAGGCAACAATAAAAAAAATATATGTGTTAAGTGTTTCCTCATGGAGAAAAAAAAGGTAGGATCTCTACTTTGCATATTTTTTTACCTTGAGTATACGGTGAGACCTGTTATGATTAATTACAAAATGTACAATTAAAAATTGAAGGGTTAATCAGCATTTTGAGGATAAAAAATACACAAAGTAATTTTTTATTTGGCCTTAATCATTTGATGACTAGTAATAATCACATCTTTTTGTGTAACATTTTCATGAAATTAAATAAATTGTCCGTGGTGTTTGAAAGTAAAGGAGAAGGAAAATGGTTGGTGAATACTTGATCATTGTATCTGTGTCAAACAAATAAAAGCTAGGGAGATGAGTGACATCCAAGTTTTTAATGACTCAAGCTGCCATTGGGCTTGAAATTTGGAGTTTAGTATGCCATTGGCTTAAGGGGATAAACCTGGTTTTGTTTAAATCAATAATGTGCTTGTAATTGTCCATGAAATAAAGCATCAGCAAAAGATAGAAATAAAATACTCTGTGTTACTTATCAGCTAATAGAATATATATTAATGAATATGATTTGCAGTGATTTTTCAAGAGTTGTGTCCCTTGACTCAAGGAGTTACTTACTTATAATGGACATCTATCTGTCAGAGTTACCTACCTTGCATTTGATTTCCTCTGTATCCAACAGGTTAATAAGAACCTCCAGACCACCAACATCTCTGATAGCCAGCTGACATGTCTCCTGAGCCAAGTTAAAATCTCTCATTGAACACAGGGCAATAATGGTAGCTGTTTGATTTCCTCCCTAAATAGAACAATAATTTTCTGCATTAAAATTGAATTATGTGTTAAGACTAAAACATTTGTTTTTTTATGCAAATGATATCAAATCCCTACTGTGGTGATTGTACTGATAGGCCGCTGTCATCTGTACAAACAGATGTCGACTTACCTGTAACTGAGACCACTAAGCCAATGTGTCCTATAGGATCCATTTGAATATTTATCTTATTTTTAAAAACCATGATCATAAGCATACCGGTATATGCATATTTGAAACCATGGTTGGGCAGTTTTTACCAGTGGTATTCAAATCCTTGACATGTCTAAGACACCAATCTTAATTGATCAGGAGTGCCAGTTTTTTCTGCAATAGTTGGTGCTTCTCTCAGGGTACTCCAGCTTCTGCACCAGTAAAATCTAGCCCAATGACTTTTTGGATTAAGTGTCAGGAGATTTCTAGAAGATTTCAAAAAAAAATGAAATTACATTAACTCACGTACCTTGAGATATTTAACAAGTTTCTGTATTTGCCAATATTCTGATGGTAGATCAGCATTTGTTTCACTTCTACGTTCAACAGCCTCTTCCTCCTCTTCACTCTCTGTAGAACTTTCACTGAATGAGTCCTCTGCATCAACTGGAGTTTTGGATTTCAATCTGGAATAAAACCAAGATTATGAAAAACAAAAAAGTAAAAAAAAATGTTTACGCTACTAATTTTTTAAAAGAATTTGAGTCATACATGGAATTTCTAATTCTAAAACACATTTGACAGATGTGTTGCCATATATGTATTGTGATACAACATATCATCAATTTTTTTTCGTCAACATGGACCAGTTTCATTTCAATTGACACAATTCATTGTAAAGAAAGATAAAGACTCAGTATCTTTAATATGATTAAACGACTGATTGATTGTTGGTGTTAACCCCACTTTCAGAACTTTAGGTATATCATTTTTGGAGGACACTTTCCTGGAGTACCTAGAGAAAACCACCAACCGTCTGCTTTAAACCTAAAAATCCTGGTCAAATAAGATAAAGAGTCTGACTCTTGTGACTAAAAATTTTAAGACTAATTCTAATTTGTGTTTTGAAATCTATTTTTCGTTTATATGATGATTTTTGTTGGCTACCTTTGTGTTGTTTTCTTTTTCTTTAATACTCTTTTCTCTCTATCCATTTTCTCTGCACTATATTCCTCCATTCCAAGAGCTCTCCATTTCAATGATGGTTCTAACCTCTTCTTTTTTTGTGATTTTGACTTTTGTTTGTCTTTATCCTGGTCATCCATTGTTTTCTGTCGACCTCCTCTTGGTGCCTCAGAACGGTATGTTTCTCCAGTATCATCATCATCCTGCTGTTCAACTCTAACATCCATGTATTTGTCATGTTTATCGTGGTGTTTTAATGCAAAATCCTGCAGTGAAAAATAAATGATGAAATTTATCAAATATATATATATATATACTAAACTTGTAAAGAGCTTTGTTGGTGTATATGTATAGATGGTGAAACAGTGTTGAGTTTTTTAAATAATTCAGGGTCCTCGGTCACAAAACTATATAGGCTATCATTGTGTATGTTAAAATTTCAAAGATAAGTTTTAAATTTCAATATAGATTCAACCAAACATTGGATGGCATGTCTGTACTGTGTTACAATACATAATAAAAATTAAAGGGAGATAAATATAAATCCATGGGAGACAACTCACTTGTTTATCAATCATTTCAGCAAACTTGGGACTTTTATCTTTTAGCAAGGTAACAAGTTCTCTGTATGAATCACCTTCTTTTTCATAATCCATGTCTCCTTGGTTATCTGGACCCTATAAAGGAAACAAAATGCATGTTAACAAAAGCTTATAGAATGATAAGTTGTGCTGGAATTATCAAGGAAGATGCCATACATTATCTTGTTCAGTGTTCATTTTGGTAATGTTAAGAGGTTAATTTTGACAGATTTCAAAAGCCACATCTGTTTGCAAGGTTTAACTTTCATTTGTTTCTTGTCTTTAACAGGAGAAACTACTTGATTTGGCAATGACATAGGAAAGTGAAACTTGTCCTTCAAATGATAAGATATTTAAACAATAAGCATATAAGCAAATAGTTGCAGGTGTTGTCTTATTAAGCATACCCAAACTCGTAATTCAAAGTATCGAAAAACAGGAGTATGCATGCCTGTTTTTGATTGAATCACAGTGTACTCAAGTATATATAAAAATTAAAGAACCTTAGTGAGTGCGCTCACATACCCCACGTCCCCACATTGTCACTGGAGAAATAAAATAACTGTAAGAAAAAATAATTGTATAAGAAAAAAAAATTGAATCATAATTTCCTGTCGATATGCACATCTACATAGTATGTCCTTATTATCTACAAAGTTTCATGAAATTCTATTGTATGGATTCAGAGGAGTTGTGATGACAAACTGTTGCAGAGGTATATTGAAGCAAATAAGTTCAAAGGGGCGTAACTCCTAGAAAAAATATTGAATCGTAATTTCCTGTCGATATGCACATCTACGTAGTATGTCCTTATTATCTAAAAAGGTATCATGAAATTCTGTTGTGTGGGTTCAGAGGAGTTGCGATGACAAACTGTTGCAGAGGTATATTGAAGCAAATAAGTTCAAAGAGGCGTAACTCCTGGAAAAAAAATTGAATCGTAATTTCCTGTCGATATGCACATCTACGTAGTATGGCCTTATTATCTACAAAGTTTCATGAAATTTTGTTGTGTGGTTTTAGAGAAGTTGAGATGACAAACTGTTGCAGTAGTACATTAAAGTAAATAATTTCAAAGGGGCGTAACTCATAGAAAAAAATTGAATCATAATTTCCTGTCGATATGCACATCTACCTAGTATGTCCTTATTATCTACAAAGTTTCATGAAATTCTGTTGTGTGGTTTCAGAGGAGTTGCGATGACAAACTGTTGCAGAGGTATATTGAAGCAAATAAGTTCAAAGGGGCGTAACTCCTAGAAAAAAAATTGAATCGTAATTTCCTGTCGATATGCACATTTTACGTAGTATGTCCTTATTATCTGAAAAGGTTTCATGAAATTCTATTGTGTGGTTTGAGAGGAGTTGCGATGACAAAAGGTTGCAGTAGTATATTGGGCAAATAAGTTCAAAGGGGCGTAACTCCTGGAAAAAAAATTGAATCGTAATTTCCTGTCGATTTGCACATCTATGTAGTATGTCCTTATTATCTACAAAGTTTCATGAAATTTTGTTGTGTGGTTTCAGAGGAGTTGAGATGACAAACTGTTGCAGTAGAACATTAAAGTAAATAAGTTCAAAGGGGCGTAACTCCTAGAAAAAAAATTGAATCATAATTTCCTGTCGATATGCACAACTACATAGTATGTCCTTATTATCTAAAAAGGTTTCGTTAAATTCTGTTGTGTGGTTTGAGAGGAGTTGCGATGACAAGAAACAGGACTGACGGACAGACGGATGGACGGGTCAAAACCATTATACCCTCCGCAACTCGTTGCGTGGGGTATAATAAGAAGATGTGGAATGAATGCCAATGAGACAACTCTCCCCGAGAGACCAAATGATACAGAAATAAACAACTATAGGTCACTGTTCAGCCTTCAACAATGAGTTAAACCCATACCGCATAGCTTTAAAAGGCCCCGAAATGACAAATGTAAAACAATTCAAACAAGAAAACTAATGGCCTGATTTATATACAAAATAATGAACAAAAAACAAATATTATATACAGCAACAAACTTATCAGATCTATACAAAGCAGAAATATTTCTAACAAAAACACAGAGTGGACGTGGCAGGGTACTTATACATCCCAACAACAAACAGACACTAAGTATAGATATGAGAGTACTCGCAGTTACTGACAGCTAGTTATTATGTTACCTTATTACAGTAGTAACCACTTGTGTTGGCAGTGACATAGAAATTTTGTCCATCATGTGGTTTGACTTCTAAGTAACAAATATCTCCATGGAGTTGTCTCTTTGGTTGAGCTCTACAGCCGTTCTTGAAAACATAGTTGTCACCTGTGAATGAAAAATTTTGAGCATGCAAAATTTGTCAAGTAAAGATAAATAAAATGCAGTTTGCTATAAAAAAAAAGGTCATACATGAAATACCATTTATCTGGAAATTTTCCAGTCTATCTAATTTTCACAGTTGACATTTTACGGTGAAATTTAACCTACACAAACATTGAAATGCATTGTACACGGCCATTTAAGAGAATAATGAACACAGCAAGGATCTTATTGCACAATCTTAGACCCAAACTGCAAACAAAAGCCAACACAAAAATAACCTGACATATGGTAGTATATCTGTTAATTTTTGCAAAAGGTTAACAGATTATTTGATAATGTCCATTTGCTTTGCTTATGGTTTACTAAAGTTGTGTTATACTGATGATAAAACTGAATGACAAAAATTAACACACAAGTTTTATAAGGAATCAATCATACACCAGATATAAAATAAGCTATTGACTATTGTCTAAGTTCAGAAATGTGTATCTATATAGACTTTTCCTTCAGTCCATACAAGATTAAAACTAAGGATTGAAATGAGGATTTGAATATAATAGAAAACTGATATTTGTGTCAGATCATGCTTTTTCCAATATTTATCTTATATAATTACCCCAGTAATCTAGTTTTTCCAAAACTGTGTTGTCATCCTCGTGTCCACAAAGTTCTTTCAGGATGCTGACTTCTCCATCAACAGTTACTGGTGTAAGTCTTACTTCTCTGAAAACATAAACAAAGTGATACAGTTAATACTTGTCTCCATCAACAGTAACTGGTGTAAGTCTTACTTCTCTGAAAACATAAACAGAGAGATCTATACATTTTATGCTTGTGATCATGGTTCGGAGTGGATCAGAGTCCTAACAAGGATACTTGAAGAAGTGATCTGAAGTGGTGAGTCCAAAGAACATTAAGGATGTACCTGTAGTCAGGTGAATCAAGGTATTATAACCCTATTTCCTTGTGATTCACTACACACCAGCATGAGTGATTTTTAGTTGTGTGCACTGTAAAGTATGAAAAGCTGTCTGAATAACTAACCAACAAAGGCTTACATTTTAAAAATAATCAGTAGAATGACCGTTTGAAAATGCAGTCAATATTTATGAAGAACAACTTTTTGTTTAATACGGCACTGTTATATGCAGCAGAATAATGAACTAATTTAATGTTTTTATTTCAGTCTTACTTTGAAATAATTGTGATGCTTTGGTCCATGAGTTGTTGATCTAGTCGCTGAAGACAAAGTCTCAATTTCAATACGCTTTTCATTTCTTCAATTTCAGCCTGTCTATCTTCATTTCTTTCTTCAGCACTTTGTTTAGCTAACATTTCCTGCTCTTTGGCAATTTCTTCCATGTAACGGAAAATAGAGTTGTCATCACCTTCAACTGTGGCAAATCTGTCTCCAAGCATGTTGGCAACTGGATCTCTGTTGGCTGAAAAGAAATAATACAATGTTTCGAAAAAATAAATCATAAACCAGATACAATGTATATACATCACTATTTTCTTAACAAAATTTAATGAGGAATTACAAAAAATGTATATGTAAACTGAAAATTCAATGCTTTTATTCTAATCTTCCCATATAAATGAAGAAAACAAGGAATAAGCACAGTGAATAGTTGCATCATTGGCAATCATACCACATTGTCTTATTTTTATCAGGAATGAATTATGTAAGGGGTTCGTTCTTCTTGACAATCTTAAATTACTATACGGTACGTATTTCAACCATTGTTGAAGGTCATAATGGGACCTGTAGTTGTGTAAAATCTTACCCTTTGGTTGATAATCCTCTTATTGGCAAGCATACCACATCTAATTTTATGTTTAATCATATTAATTATGAACATTTTAAGGTAAAATGTACTTTAAAACTTGGTGTAATAAGATTACTATACCTTCTAAACAAGCTCTAACTTCATGCATTTTCTTATCTCCGGCAGCGCGCATTACTTCTTCTGCATGATGCATTGTCATAACACTAACATTGTATGTCATTTGATCGTGTTTCTGTAGGACAAATAAAGGCTGGTCTTTCCCTGCTGTTTCTTCTGATACAAGATCTTCCCCTCTGAAATTGGAGAGTAAACTGCTATAATTTTGGAAGCAATTAATTAAGTAACAGAAAAAGAAAAAAAAATCATGAAAACTGAAAAAATATTATATTAACAAAAAGCTGAATATGTCATGTACATTGTATGTATGTGTAGATTACAATTTGTCTAGGTTGCCAAGCAATTTCTTGAATCCGTTGGGCAAACATAAACTACTCATAATTCTTAATTGTAAATATTGGAAACTATTTTAACAAATTCTATAATATTGTCCAAATAACTTTTGGCTGCTGGTGAAACCAAAGAATATGGGATTACCAACAAATCTGTAGCTTTTTCAAAGATCTGAGGGTCTAAAATCTAAAAGTAAGAAATAGCTCTGTTGACTATGTATTTCTAGGTTGCAAAAACTAATTTACTCTAAAATGTATTTATTTTGTGAAATTGTCTACAGTTGAAGCCCTAGTACATAGGGTGTCCCCCGTATTCATGAGTGTGGTTCATTTCTATCCTTAAACTAAATATAAAAAAAATTACTTGTGGTATCAATAAAACTGCAAAATGTCTTATTCAGTGTACATGTAAATTCCTGTTTATTTTTAATTTCTTTTTTCATCCAACTTTTGTTTTACTTTTAATTAATACTAATAGGGTTTTTTTCATCATGCCATCACACTTTCTTATTTTACCTGTCTGTCATTCCTGGGCCTTTTATCTGATTTGGTTTTAAAGATGACTGCCATGTTAGTGGTTTTTTAAAAACGAGCTTGGATTCTTCTGGATACTTAGCGCTGAATCCATCTACGAAAGATATGATACTGTTTAAAAGTTCCTCATTTATTTTTGTGTATTCTAATTTCCCACCAGATCCTCCTTTGGCAGATGTCCACTGTGCTGCTCTGGTCAGAGCCTGTCCCATTGTGATGTTTTACGATTACTTTTCCTAAAAATAGATATAACACAACATTTTATTTTAAATTCACCATAAACCATTCATTTGTTGAACTTATTATTTACAACATGTAACAACTAACATACTAACATTCAATTTAATACTGAGGATTCAAATTTAATAAATAATGAACACTACCAGCCAGACCATTTGAATTTTCAGGTGAAATGTCCAGCTTACTTTAACCCTCTTGCTGCCGCTTACTTATTATGGTTGCGTTTCGTGTGCCAGAAAATCCGACAGCTGGATGTCTGTCACGTTGTCTGTGACGTCACATGTGCAATAATGAAGTAATTCGATATATGACGTCACATTGGGGACCCATTGAAGAAAAATATTACACAGTTTAATCTTCAATATTTAATTTGAAAGAGATACAGCTATGATTAGAAGCTGAGACTACTATAACACAGTGTTATAGTAGTCTCAGTTAGAAGCTTGCATAATTAAACATATATGCATACCTCCTGCACAGTCCGTGTGGACACATGTGGCCTTCTGGCAGCAAATACTCGTAGCATTTAAAACAGAGATCACTTACAGTGCAATGCTGTCAGTTTAAATATGACATACCTAACCTTTACATTAGCACCAACTCTAAACCTAACACTGACAGTGACACAGAACAAAAAATAAATATATATATATAAATTCAAATTGTTTAGGACCTTCAATTATTTTTCAGACTTTATGCCCAAATGAATCTTTGAATGTGAGTTGCACATTATTTATGAGTTTCCTCGATGGTTGTATCACAGTCTGAGTTCCAAGACATTGATGCATTTTTTTTTTAACTTTAATGCAATCTAGCAAAATTCCCCGACAGATAAAATCACGATATAAGACGGATTTTCAATATAAAATATAAAATTTCTAACTTAATGATCTTTTCTGCGAAATAAGCATATTGATGCATCAATCTTAAATCAATTATTAATCGTTAACTTACCAAGAATTTGATGTTTATGAAATTTAAATGTATGTAAAGCAGGCAAAATAAGTTGTTATAGTTGCTAAGGTCTTTGCGCAGGTGTATAGGAAGTTGTTAAGGGACATAACTTCGATAAAAAAAAACGGCGCGAACTTAAAACTGTTTTTAAAATCACAATATCAATATACCAAAATTGAAATAACAATAATCAATGCGAAGCATGTGTTATTTCAATGGAAAATAACTGTTATATTTTGAATTATACCTATGTGATCATCTACGGAAAACAATACACGAGGTTTCAATCTTCTGCAAATTATAATCACATATAATTATAGACATATAATTTATATGTCTATAATTATATGTGATTATAATTTGCAGAAGAATTATCTGGGCCTAATATATAATAGTCCCGTATATAATACAATAATCTGGGACTATTGTACTAGTATAATTGTCTCAGACAATATGTATAAATGTCTCTGTTATAATTTTGTCACTGGTAAAAGTAAAGCCTTGTTACTTACTTTAATACTGTTTTATACCAAACATTTCCATATGAATTAACTACAATAATCAAAATTTTGATGTATGCATCAGATTCAGATAACCCTATCCGAAGGTCTGGATTTTTTATTTTGTGTAGTTTTGTTGTTTTAGTTTTTGTTTTTAGGGGATGGAGTTGCGACGTCAATGAAATACTGTATTAGTTTTTTGCATATTCCGAATGAATTTTTGATCCAATCTTCTCTTTGCATCCCATGATAACCTTTAAATTTGCTTAATTTGCTTAATTTTTCATCCCATTTTTCGCTGTTCTTTATTTTTTTTGTCCAATAAGCCTCTATTCTGGAGACGCATTGTGATTCAGACTGTCATTGCAAAATCGTTTCAAGCAAAGTGTTCAAAGTTTAAAGAAAATGTTTAATGATTATCTTTAATTATTGAATTAAAATAATATAAATTAAGCATTATCTTAATTGCCGGAATATAAGATTAAATGTTGTGAGAAAACATGTAATTACTATATACTAGTTCTATATCAACATGAGCAATGCAACACAGAACATACCCGAATCATATTTTAAATGCAAGAAATATAGAAAATAAAACATGAAAAATTAAGCTACTTCTTCGTTCTCGGGTCTTATAACGAAAGTTGTAATGATTGCATGAAAAAGGAGCCGATTTGTTCCACATAACCTATTGATACAGACAGAGACATACAAGGTCTAATAACTTAATAATTTGTTGGTCTTTTTTTGGGAAGCGTGATCTTCCCCGTTTAACTAATTATTAACTGGATCTTCTTTTATATCATATTTATATTATACAGTCTTATAGTCTAAAAGGAAATGTTCCTCGTTTTCAAGAAGACGAATAAAGCAAAAATGGGGCCTGAATAAAGAAGACAATACTAATTCACATCAGAATTTTATAGTTCGAAAATTAATTTTTCGTCCCTTTTTTGCTTTGAGACTAGTATAAAAACAAAAGTTGCCTTCTTTAAAAAAAGAAAAGCAATCCGTGAACCCAAGACCTAGCCACCAAAAAAATTGTTGCTGAATTTTTGTTTGCTTTTGATTTGAAATAATTGACTGTGATTAGAATAAAATATTGATGATGTTAAAACACCTTTATTGAAAATATGTAATTGTGTGTAGATTCTTGCACACAAATCAATAGAAAGCAATGCTGGATATTGTGAATAGAAAAGTGTATATGTACAGCTTCTATTTGAATTTACATTTTAAGGCTTGACTATTTTATTTATTACTTGGGAGTGCACATAATTTTTTCACAATCCTATTGCAAATCCCAGTTTCTGTAAACCGGATGTCTAATGCAAATTGCACAAACCAATCGCAATATAAATTTAAGCACTCAGTTTGATTTATGATCTGGATGCATTTATTTTATCTATCATATCTTCGTATTTTGTTTCCTGGATGCCTTCAAATATTCTTATATTCGTTTAATATTGAAACTGTCTGTACTCATGGTAGATGTTGTATAGATAAATTTAAAGTCCAATTTCAATGTGAAGTGAAACCCTGTGGCATGCAACTTATAAGAAGGTTTCGTATATTTTTCTTGAGAGTAACACACCAGCTTCATTGGGACCTCTTATATACTGACAATTATTTTGGTCTCATAAAACATCTCAAATTTCAAAGATTTCCTGAAGTTGCTTAAATCAATCCAAGTATTCTACAGGAAAACAGGTTTTGAAGAATATCTTATTTTCAGAAGTTTTATGAATACCTGAACATACTCTCAAAAGAATCAATTTATATAAAGATATGTAGATATAAAAAGATACAAGGAATAACATGTTGTACGCAAGACGCGAGTTCAGTTTACAAAAGACTCATCAGTGACGCTCGAATAAAAAAAGTTAAAAAGGCAAAATAAAAGTACGAAGTTGACAGGAATTGAGGACCCAAAATTTCGAAACAAAGGTTTTGCCGCATACATCTAAGGTAATCTATTCCTGGGGTAGAAAATCCTCATAGCATTTCGAAAATGCAAAGTTTATGATAGAAATCGTTGAGAGAAATAGCTAGAGGTCAGAATACTGTGACCTTAAGTAATGATGACCATGCTTGAAAGTCACATGTCAAGCTCTTCTTATTGCCGTGTCCTGAATTTAGATAAGAAAATCTGAAATTCACATTCGCAAGTGAAATTAATATTTATGCATGCACGTTTTTTTTTTTTTTTTTGCGCAAGAAATAGTAAATAGAAAGCATTATACGCACTGATACTCTGGATAAGAATACGCATTTGCGCCACCACATATATTAATCTAGGCTCAAATCTAATTTTTAATAGTTGAATTTTCGGATGTCAAACCACCTACCTCAAGTGTTTTGAGTACAGATTCATTGCCATTTAGTCCGGAATTAGTGTGAACGCAAACCGATAGTGTGTCGTATGAACAGGGTGATATATTATGTAAATGAACCAAGACGTGTAGAACAGCTGGTCAACACTCAAAATCGTACCATATTGCAAAGATTTAGATGATATAAGGCTGAACTATTAAAAGAAAAAAAGAATTGAAATTTAATAATTAATATTAATTCCTGTTAATGAATCTTTTCCGAAAACTTAGAATATAATATCAATAAACACAGAAATCTGTATCAGACCATTAGAGAGGGTCTTGATGGGGTTTGCAGAATAGAGAATAATGGACAAAAAGTGCAGAATAAAGGGAAAAACGTGTTGTTGTTGCCAGAAAATTTCATATGATACATTCAACTTTCAGTGCTGACAACAACGGTACAAGTAAACAAGATTTTTAAGTGACCACCAATGACCAGGTCAACAGTCATGTAGTTACAACGGCACGCCAATAAAATTTCATGAGGCAACGTCGTTGCGAGACAGATTTACGTCTGTAACGTCAGCTGCTGACCAAGTCGGCGGATGTCACGGAAAACAGATTCACGAAATTAACTGAAATGCGAGAGAAACCTCTGTAGAAAATCATTTTAAGGTTCACAGTGTATACCACATACTTGCCAAAAACAGACTCAATGGGTAAGAGGACTAATCAACCGGAACAAAACATACGATCTTGTCTATGATTTTATTCGAAAATAATTATTGCATGCTTAATTGCTTATCAATACAGACTGTCCTAAGTCAGGAGCCTGTTGTTCAGTGGTTGTCGTTTGTTGATGTGGTTCATAAGTGTTTCTCGTTTCTCGTTTTTTTTATATAGATGAGACCGTTGGTTTTCCTGTTTGAATTGTTTTACAATAGTCATTTTGGGGCCCTTTATATCTTATTGTTCGGTGTGAGCCAAGGCTCCGTGTTGAAGGCCGTACTTTGACCTATAATTATTAACTTTTATACATTGTGACTTGGATGGAGAGTTGTCTCATTGGCACTCAAACCACATCTTCTTATTTATATATATTATCTGACATAACATGTTTTCATATTAATTCCTACTCTTCCGGAGCATCGGATATCATTCCCGGTTTTTGTATGACAGTTCATATGAGAGGACATATTTATATACTAGTATACAATTAAGTCAATAATATATATAATGTACCATTAAAGCAGAGCAAACGTGTACACAATGTTCTTCACTGGTGATTCTGTTCATTTTTACTGTTGATCGTAGTGTAATAAATGAGGATCTAGATGAGGTTTACAGAATAGAGAATAACGGACAAAAAAAGAAAATAAAGGGAAACTTAAGGAATATTGAGAAAAGTTCGCCTATCGTTAGACGAGACTTATTTTGGTGTACCGTTGTCCGTCACAAGTCATACAAAAGCAATACAAAAACAAAACAAGACAATTCTCTGATCAAATTTAATTAAACTTACATAGAATAATTGATTTGGTGGAAGACAGTTCCAATTTGATCTTGAACATTTTTCTGATTGTCGTTTCCGAGTTACGGGACTTTTACCGTAAGATTTAAGACAATTTTTCATACATATGAGGGTGTAGATGGTGGTTAACAGAATAGAGAAAAATTGACCAAAACATAACGAATAGAAAATAATGAGGTGCTAAGATATAAAGAATAGAGAATAATGGGAAAACATTATAAGAATAGAGAAAAATGCCTTAAAAAATTAAAGAATACAGAAATGAAGGACACCCCCATCCAGACCCTCATATATTGAGCACCAACGAACTCGAGTATGAAATCAAATCAAAATTTAAATCAGAATAAAAATTCTGTATTTCTAATTAAAGAACCCTTTTACAATATATGTATCAATACAAATCACAAAGTTCATACACATTACATGCATACTAACAAACACACTGATAGATGAGAACTAGTACAAAGAGGACAACTTTATTGATTAAATCTGACTTACATCTTTTCCCCTGTCGCATCTGGAATATTTTAATTACATGCAGACAGACTGAATAATGTATAAAAATACAAATATTTCTTAGTTAGATAGAAAGACCCCTAAATCAAAGTTTCTCAGGTTTGGAATTTTTGAAATAATTGGCAATGTTTTAAGAATTCTAATCTTTGTGAATTATTAAGAGGACATTCTATTATAGAACAAAATGAAGTTGATTTTCTATTAAGTTTTCAACGTGAACAGTGTT